CTCGTCAAGGAGAAACTGAAATAGCCTCTGAAGGTAGAAAAAAAAACTAAGTATTTCAGTGAGCGGTCTTCTTCCTAAAAGCCAAGTCTTCCAGATAACCATGACGTGAACAAGGATCATCTAAGGAAAGATATGAAATACGATGTTAAAACGTTGTAACATTATAAAGGTTAAGTTTTAACACAGAATAACACAAAGTTGGAAGAATATTCTGGGTTTGGGCCGCTGAACTTCGTACACAAGTTTTATATATACAACACAATGATAGCAGCAAAACTTGCAAGGCCTAATGGAATTATTGCGAAATAAATAGATGAATGTTGACATGAATAAATGGTAAATGAGGGTAGATGCTAGAAAAAAGACAATGAAATTATAATAGTACAGTGAGGACGTTTACTTTGTCGTGATGAAAATAAATGTAACCCTGTCAGAAAACGTTTGTTGTCTAAAGTTCGTTCAACTCTCGACGTGTTCTTAAATTCATAAATAATGAGTGTCGCCTTGAATAAATTTCGCCACTCTCTGGCATGATTCGAGTTGACATTTTGAATATTTATTTTAATAAAACAGGCCTAATGTAGCGAATCATTTTGTTATTAAGATCAACTTCGACAGATGGGATAGCTCAAATCCGGACAAATTCAATGTAAATTAAACTTTTAAGTACTTGAAAATTTAGCAAACTGTTAACGTAATTTCTGTCAGAATAAAATATTTTGTTTTGCAATTTTTAAGTACTTTCTATCTGCACAATAATAAACAAAAAAAAAAGATGTGTGGTGTCGTGGGACACCGGATAGGAACGAAATTCCTTATTATAAAAATATTAATTTTAAGATCTATTCGAGGTATAAAGAAAATAATTTTTCGGGTATACATTTCTATTATGATTTTTTTATTGATAAATATTAAAAAAAAACTACTTTACGAAGTTATCAACTTTATTTTATTCACAATGATTTATAAAAAATATATAATAAAAATATGTTATGTTTTGTACGTATTACAAAGTCGTACACTGTGTGCATTACTAATAAAAATCTTACGTTACGGACGTTTTTTCCCGGTTAGGGTACCCCTCCGCATGGTCCCATAAGGAACTTCGTTTCAAAAATCTTTTACTGACTCGATGCCTATGTGTTGAACACCTTATCTGAATTTAAGACAACAAAAAAAACCTGAATGCAGTTCTGCCTCTCCGTTTGCATTAATTAACAATCCCGAGTTGGTTGCTTTTGTACAGGGTTACGTGATTTGCTCAGATAAAGCTAAACAATTAGTGATATAGGCGTTTCAAACGAAATAAAATTTAAACACACATTTTTTCATAGTTTTATAATTAATTAAAATTTAGATGGATAGAAAAGAATACGAAAATATTATCGCAACTTTCTTTTCAATTATATTTTTTATAACTTTGTGTGTTTGACTCTGTAGACTATTATTTGTTTTATTGTTCATGAAATCGTAATATTAGGTTTATACCTATGAAGTTGCTGTTTAGTGCACCCAAAGCTAGTCATTGTTAAGAAAAAAAAAACAAATAGTTCTATTAATAGGATGCGATGCCAGCGCAGCGCAGTTTATATATATCTATATAACTAGTCAGGTCATAAGTATTGTCACACAGTAAAAACTTTTCTTTTAGAATGCTGGCCACAAAAAAGTTTATTGAATTCGAATTTCGAATTGTTCATGAAAATAAAAAAGGAAATTTTTTAAAATTTTACTTATTTTTAAATATGGAGTGGACGCTTAAAGAAGACCGTGTTGCAGTTATTGCGTTGCATCGTTGCGGTTACGCGCCAATTCAAATTTTTAACATACTGAAAAATTTGAATATAACCAAAAGATTCGTTTATCGTACCATCAAACGATACAATGAAGTCTCTAGTGTAGATGACAGGTCAAGAAGTGGTCGCCCTCGGTCTGTTAGGACTCCAGCAGTGATAAAAGCTGTGAAGGCGCGAATTCAAAGAAATCCCAAACGTAAGCAGAAACTGTTGGCCCTTCAGATGGGGTTAAGCAGAACCACGGTGAAAAGGGTGTTAAATGAAGACTTAGGGCTTCGGGCATATCGAAGAAAAACAGGACATCGTTTGAATGCTCGTCTAATGGACCTGAGACTGAAGAGATGCCGCGCTTTGTTGAAGCGGTACGCGGGAAAAAAATATCGGGAAATTCTTTTTTCGGATGAAAAAATTTTTACCGTAGAAGAGAGCTACAACAAACAAAATGATAAGGTGTACGCACACAGTAGTGAAGAAGCGAGCAACCGTATTCCGCGTGTCCAACGAGGTCATTTTCCATCCTCGCTCATGGTATGGTTGGGAGTTTCTTATTGGGGCTTAACAGAGGTACATTTTTGTGAGAAAGGTGTAAAAACGAATGCAGTTGTGTATCAAAATACAGTCCTGACGAACCTTGTGGAACCTGTTTCTCATACCATGTTCAATAACAGGCACTGGGTATTCCAACAAGATTCGGCGCCAGCTCATAGAGCGAAGAGCACACAAGACTGGCTGGCGGCGCGTGAAATCGACTTCATCCGGCACGAAGACTGGCCCTCCTCCAGTCCAGATTTGAATCCGTTAGATTACAAGATATGGCAACACTTGGAGGAAAAGGCGTGCTCAAAGCCTCATCCCAATTTGGAGTCACTCAAGACATCCTTGATTAAGGCAGCCGCCGATATTGACATGGACCTCGTTCGTGCTGCAATAGACGACTGGCCGCGCAGATTGAAGGCCTGTATTCAAAATCACGGAGGTCATTTTGAATAAACTTTAGTGTCATAAGAATCTATGTTTTGTTAAGTTCATTTTGGTATATGAATGGTTACATAATGAATAAACTTGTTTCAATTATTTTACATTAAACATGTGACAGAATTTATGACCTGACTAGGTATATTTTCCCCCTTGAGATATAAGTTCTAAGCTCTCAAGTATAGCTACAACGGCTGTCCTACCCTTCAAACCGAAACGCATTACTGCTTCACGGCAGGAATAGGCAGGGTGCTAGTACCCGTGCAGACTCACAAGAGGTCCTACCACTAGTAATTACGGAAATTCTAATTTTGCGGGTTTCATTTTATTACACGATGTTATTCCTTCACCGTGGAAGTCAATCGTGAACATTTGCTGAGTACGTATTTCATTAGAAAAATTTGTACCCGCCTGGGATTTAAGGACCGATGCATCGCTCAACATGAATGCACTAGACGTCTTATCCTTTAGACCACGACGACTTCAAAAGTGTTACTTACTACTGTACTACTTAGTGTGTTATTCATTGAAATGCCAGTTATTGCATAACTGCAGTTAGAGTCGCAACACAAAACCTTAAAAGCATTTTGATAAAATCAAAATTTTAAATTTCATAAACTAAAAACATTACTTTCATTAATTCACAAATAGCTCATTGTGTCTATTGAAATAATACAAATGCAGTCGCGAGAGCTTAAAATCAAATCTCTATTCAGAGAAAACTTTGTTTTGACAACTCTACCAATGTTTATGAAAGTTGAACGCGTATTCAATTATATTTCTGAAAGTTACGGAAGAGCCGTGTACAAAGCCAGGTAGGTAGCCCCGGTGGCTTGTAGAAAATAAAATTACCTCGATTTTAACGTTTTTCGCTGTGTCTGAGAATCTGAGAATATTCAGCGAGATTTTAATAAATGAAATTTCCTTATTTGTCATAGGGTAAGTAATGGAAGTACTTTGATAATTTGAATACTCAGTCTTCAGTTTACTAGGTTTTATATTTAGTTTATGTTTATTTTGATAATACTTGTAAATCTGAGGGTAACTATTACTATTTTCAACAGAAAAAAGTACAATCAAGGAATCAAAATCATTTTACTTAAAATGGTTACATGAACAAAAATTAAGAAAAAAATAAATTATGTGAATGTTTACTTGACAAGCTTAAAATTCAATTAATACGTATAATTCATTACATTCATTTCATTACATTCTTTCATTACATTCATTTCATTACATTCATTTCATTACATTACGTAAATCCCACGGCAAGTTATGGAAATGCGTGACCTTTGTTATTTTTAAAGCTTTCGTTTACATGGATTTATTTTTTCCTTTTGTTCCAAAGCCAATCATAATGACACACTAACGACGTGCTTTTGTATTATCTCCCTAATCCTTTCGTTTTGGTTTGAAACATAAAACAGTAATAGGTACAGCTGTAACTTAATAGGTACGTACGTATGTAGGTACGTCATTCAGGGAACATATTATTATGTAATTTACAAAATTATTTCAATATGACTTTAAGCACTAAAAAAATTACCTATTTCACAATTACATATTTATGCTCATTAAATAAATAAAAGCATACAGTGAAATAATGTATACTTACCAATATTGTCTCTTTACTTGTTAAGTCATATTTCGCTAACCGCTTTATTGAAACTGATGAATCGTATCTACTTACTAAATTAAACAAAAGAAAAAAATCGTATTTTTCTCGGTTTTCGCGATTAGTTGATTCGACTTGTTCATAATCAAAACTATTTTTACAGCTTAATCTTGTAACAAATTTTATTAATTTTATATTATTTCCGACGTTTCGGATATTTTGCCATTCCTTGGTCACGGATGAGTAAGCTGTTATTCGTCGATATTTGAATAATGTGTTGAAAGGAGAAGAAATCACTTGGCGTAAAAATTTCCTCTATTCATTCAACAATTAAAAATTTTCTAGTTCAAACCTGCATGACGAATGTATCACAAATATTAACTGTTAGAACGTTCCTATAATATAAGTAGGTAATAAAAGAAGCAGTTTAACTTTACTACGATACAGATAAGGTTAAATACACACAGTGACATTCGGTTTAAACTTAGCTTTTTCTGAAATTCTAATTTAACTAACCTATTTAATACAGACCACACAGTATGTGTATGTCGAGTTTTAATGTGCATACTTGCATACTTGAAAACGTTTTTAATGTATCCCTAAAATATTCCTAGGGTTCAGCGATCCATATTGCATGTTGGGGATTCAGCCGGCTTCTTTGCCGGCCTCACCTCGTGCATCAGAGGACGAAGGCCGCAAGCACGGGTTCCGTCTCAGCTTCAAGCGAAGAGACGGTCGACAACAACGAGACAGTCTTGGTAGACTCCCGGCACGTTACATCCGAGCCACGAGCGTACGACCACATACGCTCTCACCAAAATGGAATGAAACCTTCAAATTGTGAGTGCCCAATCAATTCTCTCTGCACACAGTACGCCGAAATTGATTTCAGTAACGAACAAAAAATAGAGGACGTCCCGCTGCCTTGTTTGCCTGGCCCCGATGTTACAGGAAATACTGTCGGAGCGTTTGCGAACTGTCCAATTTTAATGAGAAAACACGGACGAAATCTTCCTTTAAATTTTTCTTCGAAAGAGTAATCGTAAATTTTCAAGTACCTTTTCGTAGTTTGATAATATAAGCGAATAAGCGATTCCGAGTAAGTTTAAGGTAAATAAAAAATGCCAAATGAAATAAATGTATTTTGTTATTCGAAGTCTGCAACTGGAAAAACAGTTTTCTTCGCAGTTTTTGCATACCACGTTTTCTGGTTTAGTGATATTGATGACATCTCATCGGATGTACTACATCTGGACATTTGGGACCACGACGACGAGAGCTCCGTACTAGATGCTGTCTCTCGGCTGAACGAGGTCCGTGGAGTAAGGGGTCTTGGCCGCTTCTTTAAGCAAGTGTGTCAAAGCGCACGACAGGGAAGCCAGGATGACTTTCTAGGTGAGTTTAGACGGAAATAACATTATCTCATTCTATTTTTTACAAGAACCAATGAACTTACTGGTTGCAGGGCCTCTCGTGAGTAAGCACGGGTAGGTACCACCACCCCGCCTATTTCTGCCGCGAAGCAGTAATGCGTTTCGGTTTGAAGGGTGAGGCATCCGTTGTAACTATACTGAGACCTTAGAACTTATATCTCAAGGTGGGTGGCGCATTTACGTTATTAATATCTATGGGCTCCAGTAACCACTTAACACCAGGTGGGCCGTGAGCTCGGCAACAACAAAAAAATTACCAGATAAAATAAAAAAGGCGACCATATCATAAATTGTCGCCAGAATAGAATTTGTTTTCTTTTTGAACTCGGAAAAGAAAAACAGGAAAAACAATGTAGACGTCAATATGTGTACAGTACAAAACCATTTAATGGAAAATAAATGGCAATACAAATAAAAGCGGAGGCGTTTGTTTTGTTGTCGACGAAGTATGGCTAGGGAAGTGCTCCCCAGGGCACTACGGTAACTGACATGCCAACACATATATACATACCTGTCTCACACACAGTCCCACATGACCAGTGTACTGCGAAGCGACGTCATTATAATACTTTGTATTATAAAATACTTGCTTTTTATTTCTATATAATATGATTTTAATGTTCGCATCCAGAGAGTAAAAAAATTTGCAGTGTGATTTGAAGCTCGTGAAATCATAATCGACGGTGATAAGAGCGAACGCGTGACTTTGAAATATTGTTTATAATGATTTTTTTTTATTGCTTCGATGCGTGGACGAGCTCACAGTCCACCTGGTGCTAAGTGGTTACTGGAGCCCTTAGATATCTATAACGTAAATACGCCACCCACAAAGGATAAGGATAGGATAAGCTTTTTAAAAGCGTTTTATGATATACGAAAAAAAAATGTTTTTAAGCTATTGCATAGCTTTTATCGCGGGCCTTGAACGCGGCGGAATCATGAAATTCTGTAACGAAAAAAACCTTACACCCCTCACTCCGCCTACCATGTAGCTCGCGTTCAACACATTGCGCTTGTGTAGTGTTTGTGAATAAGCGCGGCGTAACGTGGCGTGACGTCACACTGCATGCGCATCATGAAAAGTCTACCCATCTCTCTCTCGCGCGGTCTAGCTTATGAGTGTGAAGGGGACAGTTAAGGTTTTGCTTTTATTAATGTTTAAAATAAAGCGTGGTCTTGTTTTATTATTTTTTTAATATTAAATTATCATTGTCTAATTATAATTGCATAAGTTGATAAAAAATGCTATGCAATAGCTTTACCGCGGCAGTTCCCGAGTGTCACACGTTTGTTTTTTTTACTAATGCAGAATACGAGGTCAATTTATTTATAGCATCGCATATGGTATGAAGAAGGGGAGGCTCTTTCGATAATATGTATAAGGCGAACCTTCCCGTCCCGGCCAAGGACTCAATGCTAGGTTGAAATTAGCGCGCACAATATTAGTACTTGATTAACTATAGGGTAGTTCAGTGGTTTTATTGTTGTAGTCCAAAAAAAAACGTAACTATGACTCTAATCTACGTAAAATTATTATGAGATAATTTCGTGTTATTATATTCACTAGTGGTCCCCGCAGTAGTCGAAATTCGACTATAATTAATTGAGATTTAAACGTTTTAACATTATTATGGTTCTATTGTCAAGCACTATTATACTTCTATAATAACACAGATTTCGCCAAAACTACACTATAAATAAATAATATTAAAGACAAACAATATTAGTGTATTCTCAATTTGACCATAGACTATAAAAGAATAACAAAAGTTTCACAATTGACAATACACAAAGGCTATATTTATACGTATGTGCTGTGTCAAATACATGATAGTGTGTGTAATGTTTTCTTTATTGATTTAATGTATTTTTAATGTACAATTTTAAAAAAATATTAGAGTTCTGCACTTCTTCTCTATGTTCTCTATAAGTGTGGAAAATTTCATACTCCTCCGTCTGCGCAATTTTCGTAAAAAGGGATACAAAGTTTTTGCTTCACGTATTAATATATAGATAAAGTGCGCGAGATTTTCTTCATATTTTTTTCTTTTAAGCTATGGAGGCACAGCTCACGTCTATCTCCTGTCAGATCCGCGTTGACATCCACTTTCACGCTTTTAACCGACTTCAAATGAAAAATCAGAAGGAGTTTCTCAATTCAGGACGTGTTTTATTTTCAGCTTCGAGATGTGTTTGTTAGAATTTGGAAATTGGAAAGCTTTTTTCGGTTATTTACATCTAAACACTTCGATCAACTCAAAACACAAAAGCTTATGAACTTATTGTCAATAACTGTAGCATGCTGGTAATTTCCGCCCTTCTTAGCAAATTACGAATTCCGCTCGACAAAATTCACAACATGAATTCAGCGAAATTAGTTCATTATTGATAAGCTCCTAATTAACAAGGCCAAGTTAGCTGATGATTGATTACTCGATTAAGTATTTTATTGTTAACTAGAAGCTCTCAAGACTAAGAGATCCTTTTGTAGGATAAGGACAGTAATTACCGCTCGTTAATGAGTCTTATTGGTGAAACATTGCTTAAATTATAATCAAGTAATTTGACTTAAGACTTGGAGACGCAATTTTGTGAAAAAAAATACAAAAATGCGATGTATTATTTTGTTAAAACCTCTAAAAAATGTAGAAAATCGTATTTTGTTAATATAAATTTCATATTTAGATGTACTAATGTGTCCAAACTAGGTGGTATAATTGCGTATGTAAAGGTGTAAAGCGCTGCATTCGATTGTTTACAGACTGAAACTTCCCTTTCGGACCGCAGCATGTCAAAGGCTTTATTTGTACTTGTCAATGACACTGTCTGTTACGTCAATATATGTACAACCCCATTCGCGGATCTGTCTCGTAAAATCTTTATGGTTTCGAGGTAATCGAGAGCGCGCTATCAACATCATTCACTTATATTCAATCATGTTGAATATATTATGGTTATAATAATCGAACAATGAAAACGTATGACGTCATAAAAATTCACTCGCGCAGAGAAATTGTCTAATGTCTTACGTTTTATTTGGTCTCGAGATCAGAACAATTTATATCAATTTAGGTTCCGTAGGTAGTAGGTACTTCGAACAAATCCGTGTGATTCTTCGTCGCCCGCTGGCGTTTATCAATGTCCATCAAAATAATCCATCTTGTGCTCCGCGAAGCCTCATGCTGTCTCTCTGTGCAGCCATTATAAAATCGTAATGGCGGCATAATGAGATGCGACTTCTTTTCGAAATATCTGATATGATTTGATTAACGAATAGGCACGAGCTTTAATGTTTGTTCGACGACCGGATTGATTCAATACCAGATGAAAATTATACGTTTGCTTGTACGAGTATTCAATAGAATGGATGTTATCTTACGAAACCTTTGAATACCACGTCTCTGGATATGAATGTAATGTGATCACACGTTCTGTTCTGAGCGGTTTATGCATAAAGATGAAGCTCGCTTTTATTAGTCTATTTTACGAACTCAAGCCCGCGTCTAAATTCGAAGCCGAAATTGGTTCACATAATTTTAACGAATAAATACAAATAAAGTTTGATTCTGTTCTTAGGTTCTGTGGTTACATGAAATCAACTGATATGCGATTTCATTAGTACGATGTACGATTGGTTGTTTGAAAATAATATAAAACTTTTAAAATTAAATTTAAATTTGATTTAATTAAAATTCATCTATACTGTTTACTAATTTGACAATGGCCAAAATATTTTTCTGGTTGTTAAATTGTTATTAATAATAAACACATAAACGTGTACACAAATGATTAGAAAAAAATTACATTGTTACTCTTGTAAGTAAAATTATTCGAAAATTTTATTTTTAGTAGCATAAGAGGGTAGATTTTTTTATTTTTTAATGACGGCAAACATGTTGGCAACGGCATTTTTTAGTGCTTAGATCGGTGGACGAGCTCACAGCCGTCACACCTGATGTTAAGTGGTTACTGGAGCCCATAGAAATCTACAACGTAAATGCGCCACCCACCTTAAGATATTCCTAAGGTCTCAGTATAGTTACAACGGCTGCCCCACCCTTCAAACAGAAACGCATTACTGCTTAACGGCAGAAATAGGCAGAGCGGTGGTACCTACCCGTGCGGACTAACAAGAAGATCCTACCACCAGTAATTACGCAAATTATAACGTTGCGGATTTTATTTTTATTACACGATGATATTCCTTCACCGTGGAAGTCAATCGTGAACATATGTTAAGTACGTATTTCATTTGAAAAATTGGTACATGTGTGCGGGATTGGAACACTGGTGCATCGCTAGATATACGAATGCACCGGACGTCATATCCTTTAGGCCATGAAGACTTCCACTCACCCATAAGTACGCATCTTTATAAATACAAGAGACAAAGACAATAAATTGCAATTGCTGATCACAGGATGTGTGAACATACCTCTGCGGGAGATTCCGTCGACTGGCATCGAAGCTTGGTACAAGTTGGAGGCACGCTCACAACGCTCTTCGGTTCAAGGACGAATCCGCTTACGCCTCTGGTTATCAGCTCGTGAGGCAGGCCGCCACGACGACGACAATTGGCAACAGGTGCATTCTAGTGTTTCATCATTATCCTGCCCTTCTCCAAGTCGCCTGGGGTCGGCGCAACATGTTTTCTCCTTCCATACTCTTCTATCATATACCATTTCTTCGCTTACCATATCGTCTTTCACACAATCTATCCATTTCTTCTTAGATCTACCTCTTCCTCTATATCCTTCCACATTCATCTACACTCTCTTACCAACCTAATTTTCATTTCGACTCATCACATGTCCATACCATCCCAAACGCGTACTCCTCAGCTTCTCTGTCACAGATGCCACTTTCAGACACTGCATTCTAGTGTTTATTTATTTATTTTTTATTGCCCCTTTAGGCAGACGAGCATACGGCCCTACCATACCTGATGGTGAATGGTTACCGTCGCCCATGGACTTCAGCAATGCCAGGGGCAGAGCCAAGCCACTGCCTGAAAATTGTGTATGAAAATTGCTTTTACAACTGAAGCCGTTGTTGCTTAGTACTATTGTTTCTTACATGCAAACACAACGTTATTATAACACGACCATCAGTTATTGAATAAACCCAAACAACAAAATTATAAACCCAAACAACAGTTGTGGAATTATACATTTTTTTTTATTTTTTTTTTATTGCTTAGATGGATGGACGAGCTCACAAGCCACCTGGTGTTAAGTGGTTACTGGAGCCCATAGACATCTACAACGTAGATGCGCCACCCACCTCGAGATATAAGTTCTAAGATCTCAGTATAGTTACAACGGCTGCCCCACCCTTCGAACCGAAACGCATTACTGCTTCACGGCACATATTTAGTGCTTCGACTTTACAACGTTATAAAATATCTTTATCTGCTATTAAAATGATGGAGCTAATTCCATCATCACAAAATGATAAAATCTACACAAATATTAATAAATTTGTGATTTTATATCTTAATTAATTTAACGATAGAAAATTACTAGTAGGTAATAGATTAATCTTTAAGATATCTCATTTTATACAATTGTTTTAAAATCGCTCTGATCGAAATTTCCTTTTAAATTATAATACGATAAAACAGAAACCTTAGTAGAAACTTCAGTGAATGTTTTCAAGGCTATGAAATAGGAATTTGTGTATTTGTTAGTGATACTGTACTGCATAAATAATAATTGATACTACTTTTGTGGTTTAATCTCGCGTTTTTTCTTGGACTTATGTTATTTCCAACGGTTCTAAAACTACACGGTTTTCGTGGTCACTTCTTCTTCTTCTTTTCCATCGCTCCCTCATTGCTAAGGATCGTGACTCCGTTTTAGCTTGTCGACTGTCAGCCTCCATCGGTTTCGGTCAGTTGCCTGGTGTAGTGCAGCGCTAAGTGGTCCGCTGGTTTGCTCGGAGATCTGGTCGGACCAACGTTTGGGGCTCCGGCCTCTAGGACGTTTTCCTTCTACTTTCCCAGTGACCATCAGACGTTCCAAGTTGTCTACACCTCTGCGGTGGTCACAAACGACTGTCAATAAGAAACGCTAGATTGGAACGCAAAAGTTATTTTAATTAGATCTACCACTCGCAAACACTGATGGAAATGCATAAAGCAGTAATTCGACAAAATTTAATTCTTGTTGTTATACATTCAATTGATGTATCCGTATCGTGAAATGCAGCAACATGATAACCGAACTAAAGAGTAAATAAATTTTAACACTTGTCCAACTATGTTAGTGGCAAAAGGGGAAAAGGGGATGCGACAAAAAAAGATGACGATTTAAGGATGGTAGGACTAAAAAGTAAACGATCGAAAGGATTGATGGTAAAAGAAAAAGGCGAACGCCGCTAGGAGAATTTTTAGTGATTCCATTTAATTTGCGTAATTACTGGTGGTAGGACCTCTTGTATACTCTAGGACCTATTTCTGCCGTGAAGCAGTAATGCGTTTCGGTTTGAAAGCTGGGGCAGCCGTTGTAACTATACTGAGATCTTAGAACTTATATCTCAAGGTGGGTGGCGCATTTACGTCGTAGATGTCCATGGGCTCCAGTAACCACTTAACATCAGGTGGGCTGTGAGCTCGTCCACTGATCTAAGCAATAAATAAAAAAATGTTCGTGAGGTAATTTGAAGATTAAACCAGAATCATTACTGACAAAATACCGTCATTTAGTAAATTATACGGGTATATGATATTTTACTTGGTGCGTGCGGCTAAATGGACACGAAATCGAAAATCAAAGAACTTTTTCGCTCCAACCGACCGACTAGACTTTAATTAAATAAGTTTTCTTCTCGCTTCATTAAGAATATACTTAAAATCTAATGTAGTTCAGTATGAAGTAAAACGAGTACTTTGTTCGGTAAACGAGAACAAAATTTGTACAACCCTAAATTCAATTTTGTTACATCATCCAAAATGTCAAAGGCATGATGCTATAAGACATAAAGAAGAGAGCTACCTCATCTTATTATGTAAGATGGGCTTAGATACAATAAAGAACGACGCAACAGCGAAATATTGTTAATATTTTGAGGCAGTGCACTGTTTATAAAAGGTTTTATTCGGTTTTTTGCAGCAAGCTATCAGAATCTATGTGTATGAATGAGTGGTGTATGGAACCTTTGTATAGCGTGGAATATAACGTTATCGGCGGGACCGGCGGGTTGTCGCGTACGCTCGATCGCCCCCGATGTTATTTTGGTTCACGTTGGCTCTTTTATTTCCCGAACAACCCATGACGAGAATATAAATTAATCACCATAATATCGATTTGTAAATAAATAAAATTTTACAAAACGGCTTCCCGGTCTTAAAGCGTTACTGGTTAATAAAAACAGGAAAATGATAAGGATATATGAAAGAAAAGAGGAATATCTCATTATTTTTTCTGTTTATATGTAGAATATATAAAATGTTTTATAATAATGAATAAAAACACCTAAGGAAAACGTTGGAATACCGATGAAAAATTCAGCCCAACTCAATAACGTATTCAGTATACCAACTCAGCGAGTGAATCTCTTTTTGGCCCTCGTAATCAAGTGAGCGAGTGACTGAAGCGAAATTGAGATTACACGATAAATCCAATTCATTCCTCATTGGTGCTCTCTCTGTAAGACTCAGTGGGACTGCCGTTTTTTTGACCTCAAGTATTCACTTCTTAATTTAATACGAGATCTCGGGTTTTTTTAGTTCTGTGCTGTTCATGTGTCCATTACAATTTCGTTCCCAACCTTTCTAATTTATTTAAACGATATGCCGTTAATAGATGCAGTTAAATGTCCTTAAAATTACAAAATATTTGCATGTATTTTAAAGTTCGAAATCTCTCTTGGAAAGGTTCGTCAACACGAGCGCTTGTTCGGGGTTTTACTGTCGTATGAAGTGGACACGGCGGGTATGGTGAACGTAGTCGAGGGCGAAGCGAGCTCTGAGTGGGAAGGTGACTTATGCGGGGCAGCTCAAACTCTTTTACATCAACATGCTATACAAGGAGACATGAGCGCGCTGCAAGCCGCCATCGCCCGTTTCGCTGCGGCTTGTAAACTGAACTGCGAAGCTCCTCTCGATCCCAAGTAAGTCCGAGAAAACACAAAATTATCAGATTCAACTTTAGTTTACGTAAAAATATTACCAAAATGACGTCAATGAAGTTTTCTAGAGATATAACCGATCAATGATCCGTGGTTTTCGACCGATATAAGCTCATCATGCGATATTGATAATGAGAATAACAAATCGTTTTAATAAATAACGGCCGTCTGGTGTAGTGGTAAGTGACATGGTCACTACACAAGGGGGTCGCGGGTTCAAATCCCGCCAAGGGAAGATATTTGTAAGATAAATATAAAATGTCCTTTCCAGGGTTATGGAAATATATTAAATATATGTATGTGTATAATAAAAATCTTACATTTATATTCGTTATCTGGTACCTGTAACACAAGTTCTTTACGAGCTTAGCACGGGACCAGTTAACGTGGCGTGATTGTTAGTAAATATTTATTATTAAGCTATTGCATAGCTTCTATCGCGGGCCTTGAGCGCGGCGACTGAATCAAGAAATTCCGTAACGAAAATAACCTGACACCCCCACTACGCCTACTATGTAGCTCGCGTTCAACACATTCACACTTGCGCTTGTGTAGTGTTTGTGAATAAGCGCGCGGCGTGACGTCACACTGCCGCATGCACATCATGAAAAGTCTGCCCATCTCTCCCTCGCGCGTCTAGGTTATGAGTGTGAAGGGGACAGTTAATGTTTTGCTTTTGTTAATGTTTATAAATATAGTGTGGTCTTATTTTATTGTTGTTTTAATATTAAAATATTATAGTCGATTTATAATTGCATAAGTTCATAAAAAATGCTATGCAATAGCTTTACCGCGGCAGTCTCCGAGTGCCAAACGTGTTTTTTATATTTTTTTATTTAATAACAATAGGATGTTTCTGAAAGTCGCTTACTGAACAGGTACATGTACAAATTGTTGACGGAGCTCGAACGAGCCTGGTGTGCGAGCGAGGCGGAGGCCGGCAGTTGCGCCGGGGAAAGCGCGTCGGGCCTCTCCCGCGACGAGGAACGCTGGCTCGCCGACTGCTTCGGAGAGTTTGTCGAACGCGGCCTGCATCAGATGCGACTCCACCGGGACCTCTATCCGGTGCTCCACGGCAATAGCTTGAACAAGTACATAAAATAGTTTTCTTGAAAATAAATAATTCAAGCGAGGCGTTTTCTCTGTAGTCGAACTGAATATTTATCGTCCACTTGATACTAATTAGCTTACGGAGCTCTTTTTTATTTTTCCTACGCTGATAGCCTTAAGAGGCTATTTCAGCGTAACCCTAACTAGTAGGTGAGCTCACGGGGCTCAAACCGGAGTGATGCTAACACTGGCCCTAGCAAGAGCAGTGCTTCGCACAATCTACCGCCGGATCGAAAACGCGACCCACTGAGAAGATCCGGCGAGAAACTCAGTGGGCTGTGTCTATGAGAACCGGAGCTAAGATTCAATAAAACGCGAAAGTTGCCACACGTTTTAGTCAACTTTCAATATGAACACGTAGCCGTTTTTTTCTTCTTTGCCTCACGATCTAGTGGCCCCGAGAGGCTATACTGGCTTCACCCTGACAGGTGGACGAGCACACGGGACTCAGAATGAAATAGTTTGCTAATATCTGCGCTAGCAAGTGTAGAGCTTCGCCGCATCTACCACCAGATTGGAATCGCGACTCGCGGAAAAGATCCGACGAGAAAAACAATGGGTTGATAACCGTAGATGTAGGATGTAGTTACCGGGGTGTGATTTGTCCTTGGCCTCGTACTAAATAAAGTGTTTATATTACCAATTGAAATTTTACATATTTATGATTAGCATATTATGTGTTTCGCGATTGCTCTTACGTTAATTTTGTAATCGTGAGCTTAAATTTGTCATTATTAAATGAACAAACTTATTTAGAACACACGAACGTAAATGTCACCTATGATTTCGTAACACCATAAAGTCGGTTTTTTTTATTAACATCTTTAATGTACAAAGCTTAAAATGTTTTTACAATGCTGTTTCAATTTTATGTAAATGTACATGCATGTATGTATGTGTGTGTAGTTTACGATTTAAATTTAAGTCGTTGTATTTTGTGCTGCTGCTAATCGTTAGCACACGTGATATCGGATGATTTCAAACTGTATACATATTATGTTATTTAAAAATTCATGGCTCATGATAAAGTCACGTCATGGATGTTCCTTCGCATTCAATAGTAATTTTCGTTCGTTCGTAATTAATGAATTTTAAAACAGCAACATTTCAACACAGCAAATTTGAGATCTATGATAAGAAATGTAACTTCCATTTATCTGATGTTTATAAATACATATTTACTAAATCGTGAAATACATAAACACGTAAACAACAACCGAAGTTCATTCGTATCTACATACACTACTACATACATATGTCTGTATACCTACGAATCGAGTGCATTGCAATCCCAAAGCTTTCACAGGAATTCTGCGATCACAATCCAATAACATGGAAATTCATTTTGCAAGCTTCACATGTCTGAGTTCACACAAAAGTACACACAGTCGCAGTCTTTATTCAGATACGTTGGTTAAAATTAAGAGTTTCTGTTTTAACTTAAACTTCACAATTTTGTATGTTATTAGGTAGGTATGTGGTGGTTATGTATGACACACGCGTGCGTTAAATCAGTAATTTAAAAAATAATCTAAAGATTCAATGTCTACTCAGTATCAATAGTGTATTCCACCTCAGTTCCACTTCCGTGTAATGATTTTGTGGTCCCATAACGCCCTAAAGATTAAGTTGATCACCTTCGCACTGGGAATTCATATATAAAAAGGGGATCTCGCGTTGGAAATCCGAACCCCTCTGCTGATTTTCTCTACATCAGAATGACTGTATGGACTGTGTGTTTTATTTGTTATTGTATTTCTCTTTCCACGTGTGTGGTAGCGAGCGATTAAGGACTTCACCAAAGAATGAAAAGCAGTATAATGTAATAGCTAACTTACGAAATTTACTGGTGGTAGGGCTCGCAACGGTAGGTACAACCACGCGGCCTATTTCTGTTGTAAATGTCGTTCGGGTTTGAAGGGCGGAATAATCGCTATACGATCTAACTTTAGTCTTCGACCTCACGTATTGAGTTGGATGGCGGCATCGAGTTTGTAATGTCCATAGGCTTTGGTAACTACATTACATCAAATAGGCCATGAACTAGTTTAGTAATGCAAGTAAAAAGAAAACAAAAAACCGAACTGTCATCTCGGTAATATGATTCCGATCTTACTTGCTTATACAGGGGACAGCGGATATACCCAACTTTAATATAATTATCTATCGATGCTTATAGACATTGACAATAGCAGGGCTATTTACCGGGCAAGGTTATTGCTATGTCGTAAATGAATTCATCTATAAAATCACCCCAACTTTATATGCAACTATTACGTTTTCATAACTAGTCTATGTTGATAGTGAAATGTAATATTTTAATAGTGAAAGAATTTTTAGAATCAATCCATTAGTCCCAGCGCTTTATTTCACACAACACAAATAATTTTCGATTGAGCAAATACATTTCACTTCTTTGCAATACCAGCGTAGAACGAATGAGTAATGGCCAAATATTTTTATCGCGTTCCCGTAATATCTTATCAAAGGCTTGTTTATTAGAAACAGAGATTATGTTTGTAGACATTTTGATTTATTAGTTAGTAGATTGTTATTATCTTTGTAATGAGAAGATTTCTAATTTCCGGTCTCATTATATTTTTAGACGTCTAATTTCCGACGATGTTAATAAGCGCTCAGGTAACGTTATATTGTTATGCATTTCTATTATTGTATAAATGATTTACTGGTGGTAGGGCCTATTGAGAGTCGCGCGGGTAGGTATCACCACCCTGCCTATTTCTGCGTGAAGCAGTAATGCGTTTCGGTTTGAAGGGCGGGGCAGCCGTTCTAACTATACTGAGATCTTAGAACTAATATCTCAAGGTGGGTGGCGCATTTACGTTGTAGATGTATATGGGCTCCAGTAACCACTTAACACCAGGTGGGCTGTGAGCTCGTCCACCCAACTAAGCACTAAAAAAAATAGTAAAGCTAATTCGTTTGTCGCGACTACACAGTCAAGCTTGAAAATGGAACAGAAAATTTAAGGTAGATGTCAAAGCTGAACTTCCAATCAGCGTGAAACAGATGTTCGATACTCCTGTTCTCCAAGCGAAATTAACTTTTATTTTTCCTTAAGATAAAGGAAAAGTCACATTAATAAAACACGGCTTTATCCAAATTTTCCTTTGGCAAATTCAAAACAGCGGAATAATTCATTATTTAGGAAACTTAGTGGGTCGTAGCTTTGAACGACAATAATTAAAGCTTATTTCTCGTTGTACATATTAATGGCCGATGAGAATTTCTCAGATGATACATCCGTGATTGTTTTTATTCCTCCAGCGGTTGTTTTGTATTGTAATAACTTCTTTAAATTGCTTCTGCTAAAAAATTAAAACTGCTTTTACGGTTTTTATTTCGCATATTTTTTTTTTAATAAATCATCTTCGACGTTTCAAATACCTTAAAGTTTTTGTACTCACAGACGACTGTCATTTGTCATGACATGAAAACTATATACTTGTATAAAACATTCAAATCGGATCGGATAATATCGGAAATAATATAACGATATTTAAAAAAAAATGCTAGTTTAAGCCGTAAAAGTGGTTTTAGTAGTTGACTCGTGAAAACTAAAGAAAATACTTCGATTTTTCATTAATAAAAAGCGTTATTTCAATGATCATATAACTGTAATCCAATAGACTTTAGAATACGAAAATGACATATTGCTTATGAAAGCGGCATTGTTGAATACTAACAGATTTATTTCTCGATATTCAAGTATAAACTCCCCAGGGAATAAGGAAATTGTTCACGGCACTTCAGTTCGTGAGATAAACGCTGGAAATGAACGCGAGATTAAACCTTGGAACTGTCTTAAAAGCGTGGTATTATATTATTTGAAAAACAAAAATGAAAAACCGTAAAAAACCTTTTAGACTTGTTGTAGTTTAATTAATTGTATTCGGATTCACAAGCGACAGCATGATGAAACAGTAATTGAGGAAATACAAAAGTAGGAATATCTTCAGATATCTATTAGATTATCTTAATCTGAATCACAAAGTCTTATTTCAAAAGCTTTAATAGGAATCGAACGATAATATTTGTTTGTACAGGTTGGAGTATCTACTGCGGTGTCTCAGCCAGCTGTCACAGATGAAAGCGTTTTGGCGTTGCTGTCCCTTCAATAAGGAAATCAGGTAAATTAATATTTTATTACAATAAATTCTTCTGGAAATTTCGCGCGACATAACGTAGATTTGAATATCTGAATCATTAATTGGATTTAAACGGCCTCTCTAAATCTCGTTCGAGGAATTTGATCTTTACGTTTGATATACCTACAGGAAAACTAGGTCGAGAAAAGTAAATTATTTTACATTGTTTATAAATTTACTTCGATTCAAAAAATTTCAGAGACCAATTCAATTAAATGATTATAATAAATAATTTTGTTAAAAATCGAAAGGGTGGACGAAATTATTGAAAGATCTTGTTAGCGAAATTTGTTTTGGATAACTCAATAATTTTAGGACAGTTAATAATGAACACAAGACTTACACAGCACGATTTTGTCCAAGCATCGACCACTTTAGTACTAAACAACATGAATAGATAAAACTTACTTAACAGTTTTTGCAAAATAATAATCGTTTTCCGATGACCCTGTTAACATCTTGCTGCCTAATAATATAGAATATAATCGTATAGATATAATTTTTTAAATAAATATTAGAATGGAATAAAAATAATAGAATATAATATTTTTTCATTTTGGTTATGAAATGCGTTGTTTAAAAATATAATACCTATTGTAATTTCTGGTTATTTCCGGTTACAAGTATCAGTTCCAACTCAAAAAGTAATTTATAGAACCCAATAATCCAAAATTTCACTTAACAACAACCAATGCAAATAATTAACATTCACATTTCATTATAGAATATGAGTATAAACCGAATATTATTAAAACAACGATGCATTTTGATTACGCGGTTATTAAATTCCGTTTATTACATATTTTCAACGCTTCAGTTTTAGTGTTCATCATGACTGTTGAATGTAATTAATGATTTCAAATTATTTATTAATTGTAAAGAATTCATGGAAAAAATGTTTATTGAAATTATCCTTTAACTGTTAAAGATATTGCGTTAAATAATTCGAGTTTCAGAAAAATTTTAGAGGAGAAGGTGAAATACGTTTTGAAACTTAAATTAATTTCATAAAAACGTTTTTTTTTTATTAAATTACAACAGGAGTGAAATTGTGAGTTCCCTGCGCAAAGGCACTTCGGAATGGTACGAAGCGCTCTGTGCACAAGACACTGAGTCCGAGCGTGGCGAAGATCTTGTGAACCTCATCACACTAGTACAAATAGATCTTCAACAGGGGCTGACCTATTATCATCCGTTGTTCGAAATGTGAGTACATTTTTACCTACCTATTTGCTGGTAATTTCAAGGGGTATTCCGGCTTTTTTTTATTGCCTTTGTAGGCAGACGAGCATACGGCCCACTTGATGTAAGTGGTCACCGTCGCTCATGGACGTCAGCAATGCCAGGGGCAGGCCCAGGCCGCTGCCTACCATAAAGTACTCTCCGCAAGCCTCGTTTGAAGAAGGACATGTCATAGCGCTCGGAAAATACCGTGGAGGGGAGTTCATTCCAAAGCCGGATGGTACGTGGAAAAAAAGATCTTCGCGCGGACCGGTAAGTGAGCTCACGGGCTCAATCTGAGAGAATCTGCCAAGACTAGCCCTAGCAAGCACAGTGCTTCGCCGAATCGACCACAGGATCGGAATCGAAAACCACTGAGAAGATCCGGCGAGAAACTTAGATGGCTGTGTCTATGCGTTAGTTCGCTTGTCGAACTCTTCATCATAATCGACGTATGAGTACACAATAGTGAGCATTACATAACTTGGTACGTATGTCTAAAGCGATGAAGATAAAATGTAGTTTTAACCAAAAAATAATAAGTCACTTCAAAATTCGAACAAATTATATTTCAACAAATAGCAGTTACAATAACAGTAACTTGTCCCTTGATCGCATGCCTAAATTTTATTTAATATCTGTGCAGAACCCATTCGTTTTATAGCTAATTTTATGAGCCATTCATAGAATGTATCTTGCGTAAGATTTTTCTTCGTCTAAAGATGCCTCTTCACAACTGAAAGCTGGCCGTCAATATAAAAAACTTCTCTTTATCTGTTGCCAAACGAAACCGCTGTTCTGCGCTGGCAGTTCTCGTCTACCCTTTAATCTTTCTTATTAACGAATGTTTGTGGTTTCGGGCCCCTCTCCTGCTTTTTAATCTTACCCACCGTTACCAGTTAAAGCAGTTCATGTATATCAAGCTGAAACACGTTCCCAAGCTGTCCGTTGTTTGATGCTCTTTATTCATTAGAACCTGTGACATGTCGAGTTGCCAATATATCTGTTTATTTTATACTTTACTAGCGACCCGCCCTCGCTTCGCTTCGGAAGCTGTAATTTATTATTGATTTCTCCACTATTTAATGGATGTTATTATACATATAAACCTTCCTCTTCAATCACTCTATCTATTAAAAAAACCGCAACAATATCCGTTGCATAGTTTTAAAGATTTAAGCATACATATGGATATAGGGACAGAGAAAGCGACTTTGTTTTATACTATGTAGTGATGCACAAAACAAGAGCTGTACATAATCGGGCTTGACAGTCGATAATAGAGAAATACAGAGAGAGTACGTGGTAGGTGCAACCAATAAAACATATTAAACCGAATTTTGTAGTTATATATACATTGATACAAGTACTAAATTCAAAAGGTACATAATAAATATGTATTAATAAAACAATTATTTATATACTATTAAATTACAGTACACTAATAAAATATAATAATAATATATGGAAAAAATGTTGATAAGATTTTTCGAATTTATACACAAATTTAAGCTTAAGAGAAATTCGATTATTGTTAGTACCACTAGTATTAGACATGGTACGGTCTCATTTCTGATTTTGTATATATATACTTATATGTATGTACATATATGTATATTTTGGATTTAATAGATACAATATTACATATTTACAACAAAAAAAACTAATTCGAATTATCCTAATATCTCGTTGTTATGAAACTCTTGTATTGCTTATTATATTAGATCACTTATTATCCTAGGCGTCTACCAATATTGGAATAAAGTGGAACAATTCCGCTAACATATTCCTTGTTTGTCGGCAATAAATAAAGCCGATGTTTACTAGCCATCCGAACAACGGCGGATCCAGGGGGGGGTCATGGGGTCATGACCCCCCCCCCCTGAGGTGTTTCCAGGACTTGGGTGAACCACTAATTGAACATAATGATTTTATTTATATATTTTGTCACTATACAGATTTTATATAACTACATACCTTCAATATTTAATTAACTTAATATAATATAATAACTTTGTATGATGGCAAGCGTTTGGGAACGAGCGCATCGAAAATTTGACTATGTGACCCCCTCCTGGCGCCAAAGCTGGATCCGCCCTTGCCATCCGAAATATTTTTCCATCGCGTCTGAGGAATCATATCGTGTTTACTGAGTCGTTCATTGTTAGCGAGATTCCGATTCTTCACGCCGTTCAAAGTTCGAAAGTCTCGCCTCTTATATGATTTGCGAGATTTTTAGACAAGGTACATTTTATGAGGAAAGAATTTGTTGCTTTTGCACGTACAATGTGTTTGACGATGGCAAGTAACTACTTGTTTGTTCGTGTTAATATGTTATTCAACTAAGGCACGTAATGAATAAGTACTACTACTATGACAATGACAATTTAAGCAATCACGCCACGTTAACTGGCCCCGTGTTAAGCTAGTAAAGAACTTGTGTTACAGTTACCAGATAACGGAAATAAATGTAAGATTTTTTTTATTATACACATACATATATTTAATATACATCCATAACCCTGGAAAAGACATTTTTTTAATTTTATATTTATTAAACAAACATCTTCCCTTGGCGGGATTCGAACCCGCGACCCCTTGTGTAGTGATCATGTCACTTACCACTACACCAGACGGCCGTCAAAACTGTGTTAAAGCAAAACTTTTCGTACATTACATTGTAGTTTTTCTTTCAGGACAAACAATGTTCCGTACTTTAGCGTGGTTTTCAATCAGATCGACAAAATGGTGAGTACGATATTGCTAATTTTAATCGCATAAATACCGCAATGTATTTAATGAATATTTAACAAGACGTAAAATATTTTAGCATGATTGAAATATTACAATTTAATATAAGTTTGTAGTAGTTGTCAATGGTTTCGAATTAAAGATTTTTTTAATTGCTTAGTAGGTGGATGACATCACGGCCAATTTGCTGTTAACTGATCACCGCAGCCCATAGACATCAACAACGTAAATGCCGCCACTCATCTTAAAACATGAGTTCTAAGTCTTATTTTTGTAGAACAGCGGCTGCCCCACCCTTCAACCAAAACGTATTACTGCTTCATGGCAGAAATAGGCGGCGTGGTGGTACCTACCCGTGCGGGCTCACAAAAGGCCCTACCACCACTAATGAAGTAGATTAGGATTAGTGCGAGTTTGACTTTTATTATACGATGATATGTTATTTCTTCATCGTGGAAGTCATTCATGAGCATCAGATAATTACCTATTTCATTAGACATATTGGTATCTGCCTACGGAATTCGAACACTGCATCAGCACAGTTGGATGCACGATACGAATGCACCGGGCGTCTTATCCTTTTAGGTCACGGCGATTTCAATCGGATTGGATGAACTATGATAGATTCATTTTTCATTACAGCGGCTTAGGAAACGATACCAGTATACTCGTAATATTGTAAGGTACAGTAGGCGACCTAAGTATTTCATAAACAAAATGATTTATGAAAGTCACCAGTAATGTAGGGATTTACTTCCAATAACAAATAATACATACATATCCATATTCACTAACAATCGCGCCACGTTAACTGGTCCCGCGCTAAGTTCGTAAAGAGCTTGTGTTACATTTATCAGATAACGGAAATAAATGTAAGATTTTTATTATAAACATTCATATATTTTAATATACATCCATAACCCTGGAAAAGTCATTTTTATATTTATCATACAAATATCTTCCCTTGGCGGGATTCGAACCAGCAACACCCTTGTGTCGTGACCATTTCACTTACCACTACACCAGACGGCCGTTATAATATACATAAATAAAGTATAAAATACCCTTCGGCAACGTATACTACTTATACAACGTATAATGTACTTTTTACTGGTGGTAGGACCTCTTGTGGGTCCGCACGGGTAGGTACCACCACCCTGCCTATTTCTGCCGTGAAGCAGTAATGCGTTTCGGTTTGAAGGGTGGGGCAGCCGCTGTAACTATACTGAGATCTTAGAACTTATATCTCAGGGTGGGTGGCGCATTTACGTTGTAGATGTCCATGGGCTCCAGTAACCACTTAACACCAGGTGGGCTGTGAGCTCGTCCACACACCTAAGCAATAAAAAAAAAATTAAGACATCGCGCTCTTTATTTAAAAAACGTATCATATATTTAAATATATTATGTATGCGAATATAAAAAATAGGTTGCTGCCCTAGTAATCAATGGGTTCACAGAAAGTCGATAAACTGCAGGCTAAACTGCAACACGAACGTATGAATTTTTTAAACATAGACCGAGGTATGCGATAAAATCGATGATGATTAATCGAATTTCGTTCCTTACATTCAAGCAATGTTGGATTAACCCTCAGATTGTATAATGTGAAATACACGAAATCCAGCTATCACAAAAAATATGTTTTATAAATATAAAACATCTTATCATATCTGCTTTAAATATAATGTTTTATTGTCAGTCCTCACAATATATTTATTTTTCTTAATTGAGACCAACTAACTGCTTTAAATACACAGCAAGATTGCTTAGATTGGTGGACGATCTCACAGCCCACCTTAAGTGGTTACTGGAGCCCATAGACATCTACAACGTAAATGCGCCACCCACCTTGAGATATAAGTTCTAAGGTCTCAGTATAGTTACAACGGCTGCCCCGCCCTTCAAACTGAAACGCAGTACTGCTTCACGGCAGAAATAGGCGGGGTGGTGGTACCTACCCGTGCGGACTCACAAGAAGTCCTACTACCAGTAATTACCCAAATTATAATTATGCGGGTTTTTATTTTTATTACACGATGTTATTCCTTCACTGTGGAAGTCAATCGTGAATATTTGTTAAAGTACGTATTTCATTAGAAAAATTGGTACCCGCCTGCGGGATCCGAACACCGGTGCATCGCTACATACGAATGCACCGGACGTCTTATCCTTTGGGCCACGACGACTTCACAATTCAATCGAATATACGACGCATGAACACACTGAACGTAAACAAGAAAACCGTTATAGTCGGTTTTGTTGAGAGAAGTTTTGTTCATAGACTTCGAGAATTAATCAAGCACTGATCTACGGACCTACGTTGGTATTTAGCTACTATAATGCGAGCGAAATTATGTCTTTATCTATTTAAACATAAATTCCACATCTTCTGAGCTTGGTATCTGTTAATTTGCTCAAAGTATTCGACTGGCATTTCATCTGGACCCGATATGTAAATAGGACCTTTCCTAGACAAGACATTTCCAAAATTCAAAGCAAGGAACTCCCTTAATTTCTCCATCTAATCATCCGTTATGTTTATTTTGCGAAGGATTAACAGATTCAAACGTCTATTGACATCAAACGGAGAATGCCAAATGCGGATTCTTCAAAGCAACTTGATTATGCTTTGTATTGCCAATGTCCATTAATAACCATTTATGTTTAAATTAACCGAACGTTTGTCTACTTTCTTATATTGAACTCGAAAATCGTAGTATACCAATTTTTTTGTATAATTAGTTAAACAAAAATGTTATTTTTTATAGCTATTTTAAGCTAGGAGTTCAAAGACAACCCTGGTCAAGGACATTGGCTATGCTAAGCCGCTATCTACAAATAATAATCGAAAGAGGTATATTGTTTATTTAAGGTGCAACCGTCACACTCTTGTGGCTACTAACCTACCTAACTAACCTAAACCTAACTAACTACTGAGCACCCGTGACTAAACTCCACTTTATGAACATATTTCTGATAAAATAAAAATACTAAATAAGTCCTTATTTTTCCTGAGAACAGCAATATTTAATTTTCCTAATGATATTTTAATCAATCAAGGTGACGGAAGACGTAAGGCAATGCGTCGAGCACTGGGTGGGTGAAGGTTGGTGCGGTGTGGCTGAGGAAGAATTATATGACGAACATCAGAATCCCAGTACGTTTTAAAACATTATTTGAAATTTCTATTCTGTTAATTATTCTAGCTGCTTTTAGTATTATGTTCATTGAACAGAAGAACAGTCCCATTAATATATGTACATATATACGTATAAACTAGCTTTTTGAGGATGGTACTGGAGCTAGGGTACACTACTATTAAATCCCGCACGGGTAGATATGACCAGACTGTCTCTTCACGCCACAAATCAGTCTTTCGTGCCGATTTGAAGGGTTGGCCAACCGTTATACATGACAAAGAAGACATCTATCAGACCTCATGTGTTTAGCTAGATTGCGGCATTCACGTTGCGATCTTCATCGACTCCAGTGACCACATTTTGTTCCGTGACCTCATTTACCCACCAATGCAAAAAAGTAATAATGCTTTAGCAGATACATCACTAGTCTTATGAACTGGTACGCTGAAGGGCTATCTTCAGTGAAACTAAACGATTCACTTCATGAAAGATCCACTTTTCAGTCCGGTGCGTCACCAAGGGAAAATCGCACCCCTTTACCTAACTATCTATATAGATTTATCTATCTTTAAATGCATTTTAGTATAAGGGGCTTTATTTATAAGCCAGGTAATTTAATTGTACGTTTATACTTAATTTAATAGACTAAGCAACATTACACGCACGGCTGGTTCATACTAAAACTCGTCTTTTGAGCCAGTGGTTACAATGTCTCAGTAATTCGCTTAGTGTGTTCGCAAAGCCTTTTGTTGCTTAAAACAATATTTCATATCTTTGTATATTTTCTTAACCCATTACGTAGTTGAGAAGATAAATTATATTATAGGGCTTGCATGTCGAGCGATCTTGAAAGCATTTTTCGGTTTCAAATTCTATATCACCTGCAATAGTTTCAGATCCTTTTCTTTGTCTAACACTTATTACCTTTTTAATTTGCTTTAACTTCATATATTTCACTGTATCTACTGCTAAGTTGTTACCAATGCTTGCTTACGTGTGAATGCCACGACTTCAGTGCAAGAGGTCCAAATTTCAAATTGATGGTACATTACATTGAAAACGAAATCTGAGTTCTCTTCTTCAACCCGTGTACACTTAATGCTGAACGTAGGTTTCTTCGAATACACCCCATTCTCTTCGGTCTCTTGCCTTCGCATCTAGTCCCTACCAATAACTTTGACCATGTCATCTGTCCACCTCGTTGGCTGTCTGCCCACGTTACGACGTCCAGTGTGCTTAGTGCGAGTTATTTAACGTTCTCGATAGCGTAAAAGTGAACTCAAATTTGTATGCAGTTGAAACGTTTGCCTGCGTTTGCCACTAGGAGCGCTGTTCCAACTGCAAACAGATTTGAGATAACTTTTACGCTATCGAGAAAGTTAAAAAACTCACTCTAATCATAAAGTACGAGGTCTCCATTTTACAGCACATGAGGGCTTCGTGATAAAAACCGACAGGGCGTTAGTCTTTTTTTTTCTTTCCTACCTAAGCTGAGAGCCTTGAGAGGCTATTTCAGCGTAACCTTAACTAGTAGGTGAGCTCACGGGGCTCAAACCTGACAACATTGCTAAAACGAACCCTAGGAAGAGCCGTGCTTCGCAGAATCTACCACCGGCGCTAGTCTACTCGGACTTGCAATCTGTGCTACAGACTATTAACAATATATACTTTATTTAGTGTGTATAGTATCAGCGAAGACGCTGCCATTCGAGGTGTTGTCAGCGGTACGAGAGCTGTGCGCTGCAGCCGCCCCTGCGCCGCACTCGCCACACGATCCACCACCGCACCTGTTACATGCGTATTTGTGAGTTTATTTTTACATAGTATAGACATGCGATGGTTAGAGAAGAGATGCATGTGACTAAAGAAATGGTAGCCCAAGGCGGAGGGGAAAAGATCGACCGAAGAAGACATGGACGGAGTATGTAATTACTGGTGGTAGGAGCTCTTGTAAGTCCGCGCGGGTAGGTACCACCACTCTGTCTATTTCTGCCGTGAAGCAGTAATGCGTTTCGGTTTGAAGGGTGGGGCAGCCGTTGTAACTATACTTGAGACCTTAAAACTTATATCTCAAGGTGGGTGGCGCATTTATGTTATGGATGTCTATGGGCTCCAGTAACTGTGAGCTCGTCCACCCATCTAAGCAATAAAAAAAAAAGTGTGAATGACCATGTGAGAGAAAGAGGAGTGAGTGTTGAGATGACGGTTGATAGAAGAGAATCGAAAAGAAAATTCGCTGTGCTAGCCACACTTAGTAAGATAAGGTGGAGACAAAAAGAAGAAGATTTTTAAACCACATTAAAACTGCCTCAACCTGGAAGGAACTCTGAATAGGAGATTCTAATAGATACCGAATATAAACATATAAAACATAAAACTACTCCAAAACCTCAAATGCAAATCAACTTGTAAAGTTGATTGACAGTCGGAGTCGGACATTTTTACAAATCATACGGACTCCGACTGGAGCTAATGACGTATTTTTGCCATAATACCCTCTAGGACCCTCTAGCTATTTAAATCGTTTATGTAATATTATTTACGTCCTTATGCACCTATGTTTAAAATCAAGGATTTTAGTGCAAAGAATATGGGTATCGTAACGAAATTGGTCTGTGAGCAAAAAATATTCTAACTCTAAGTCATTATCTTTTTATTTTTATTATTTTATTTTACTATATTAAATTCATTATTTTAAATGACTATTGATTTTTGTTGATTCTGTCATTTCACACTAAATGTCAAATATAATTCAATAGTTCATAATTTAGGACGAACAATACTTGAACGTAATAATTAGATTGCATTTGTTCATGGATATCGGTAATATTAAGGACATTCTATCCCATCCTATCGTTAAGAACCATTCAAATCACATTTGTAGAAAAAACACATTTTATAGTAATGTTGAGACGCTGAGCAAAGGAACATTTTCATGTAGATTGAATTAATCAATTCAATAGCACTGTCAATGCCCAGCTAAAAGGCCGATAACATTAATCACTCTTTAATCGAATTTCATAATTAATTTGAAAGGACTGAAAGGCTTTTGTTTGGACAGCAATCGCCTAATACGCAGCGCTATTGAACTTAGTTATTATAAATTTAATTATCAACAATTTTCTTATCTTGGATTTGTTTGAAGTTTACGCATTAACAACTTGTTAATTCTAATTGGGTTTAGAATTACACAAATCGCAATTTTGCTTTGTATTTAATCAGCCTGATTATTCTGTCTAACAAACATACCAACAGCATTAATAGTACAGTTAACTCTCCTATAACACGGTAGATACGATCCTACAAAGACCAGTGCTGTGCAAAACCGTGTTATATGCGACTAGAAGCCAATACAAAAGGGAGAGTGATTATTCTGAATGAAACATCTCAAATATGCTTGTATGTATATTTTTGCCTATTATACATAAAAAATAAGCAGTAAAATTTCGGTTATTCCCATATATTGTGTATTCATAGTGCATAATGTAATTTTCTAAATAATTTTAAACAAAAATCTCGTGACGTAGAAGTACCATTTTATAAGAGGGTTTTAGAGGGTTGTCGTTTTTCGTGTCAGAGTGGAGCCGTGTTGTAAAATACCGTGTTATAAGAGGATTAACTGTACTTACGTACTTTCAACACTCATCGTTTTAAATTAGAGCGTTTTAATTTACAAACTATAATTTTAAAGTATATTGAGATGAAAAAAGCGTCGAATTAAAACCTACTGCTTATTAACTGGGTGAACCCAAATAATTGCATTGAATTGCAATACATTGAAATCTACTGTTCCGTATACACTTGTACTGGCATCCATGGAAATTGAATGACGGTAAGTTTAAAAAAATCGCTAATGCGAACGTACGTACGTATTCAAAGTGCGTTCCTACGCTACAGTGACTCAAGAAAAGTCAAAAGGTTTTGCCTGTCCGCGACAATGAAAACAATATTAGTAGCAAATTACTTTATATCAGCTATTATAGAGGTGTAAAATTTTTAAAGGAAATATTACGTTTTTGTAGTATAATTAGATAATGGATCAGGAAGGGAAGGGTTAATGAGAATCATGAAAGTATTCAATTTCACTTCAGTAATTAGCTGGACAATGGTCCAGACTCAAACACCACCCACCATCAATACGTTTAATTTTAATTACAGGAACAAACAAGTAATCGAATCTAGAATATATCAATCAATCATTAATATTTACAAAAGATTAATCAACGCTCCATTGCGAATTTCGCTCTTAACAATACATATTTCCGTGATTGAGCGAACACAATACCAATTACTTGAAGTTTAAATAACTTTTTAGGCACCTCATATAAAAGTTGTTGCCATTTTAATGGTCATTAAAAATTCCACGAAAATCAGGTATAATTAGTGACTGAGATTTTAACGCACAATACCCGTGTATACATTATGGAAGACTGCGATACAATTAGTCCGCTTTAATGAATTATACGCACGCACGCACGTCACACTCCCTCCTATGTCACAATGTGAAGGGAAATATTCAAAGTATGTATAACCATTTATTTTAAGCATTATATCCGTATTTCGATTGAAACTCGAATCTGCATTTTAATTTGCATACCTACATTGATTTTCCAAGTTTGCTGTTACAAACTGAATCAAAAAAACGTGTGGCACTCGGGAACTGCCGCGGTAAAGCTATTTATTGCATAGCATTTTTTATCAACTTATGCAATTATAATTAGACAATGATAATTTAATATTAAAACAATAATAAAACAAGACCACGCTATATTAAACATTAATAAAAGCAAAACCTTAACTGTCCCCTTCACACTCATAAGCTAGACCGCGCGAGAGAGAGATGGACAGACTTTTCATGATGCGCATGCAGTGTGACGTCAAGCGCGCTTATTCACAAACACTACACAAGCGCAACGTGTGAATGTGTTAAACGCGAGCTACATGGTAGGCGGAGTGAGGGGTGTAAGGTTTTTTTCGTTACGGAATTTCATGATTCGGTCGCCGCGTTCAAGGCCCGCGATAAAAGCTATGCAATAGCTTAAAAAAAACAAATTAACTTTTCATATTCCATGGAAAATATTGTAAGAAACTGTCGAATCCAATGGCGAAAAAGGGCCAATTGGTTTGATTCAATGAATACAGTTGAGTGACAATGTAACGTATTGCGTTATACAGGGTGTAAAAGAAGTGTTCTGGAAACATGAAGGTTTTTTGGACTACCCTACGCCAATGTTGACAGAAAAGTTGTCGTCTTGTTAAGTTAATATTTTGTAGGACCGCAACATAACGCAAAGTCACTTATGAGACGTCCACTTCGTTCCTTTGCAGCCGTGGATACCGTGCGTCATCTAGTTTTTATTGTATGTATTACTAATGTGCTAAATAAAACATTCAAATGTATCTTTTTAGTGCTGTGACCTTCAGAATGTTCAATTACTTTAGTTTTAAAGAACGGTTATAATACACTCTGTATTTGTTGTTGTGGTCGCAGATGGTTCGAGCCACTCATCGATCGTTGGCTGGCCGTCACCAAAACAATGGCGCTACAGCGCGTGCGAGCCGCCGTCGATCTGGGTAAGAAACCTCCTACACAACGAACCATTCTAAATAGGTGAGCCGGAACATTAATGGCTGTATCGAGTTTCTGANTCGTTTTAAAGAACGGTTATAATACACTCTGTATTTGTTGTTGTGGTCGCAGATGGTTCGAGCCACTCATCGATCGTTGGCTGGCCGTCACCAAAACAATGGCGCTACAGCGCGTGCGAGCCGCCGTCGATCTGGGTAAGAAACCTCCTACACAACGAACCATTCTAAATAGGTGAGCCGGAACATTAATGGCTGTATCGAGTTTCTGATTAAATGCTTTTAATTCCCACCCTTCTGTTTCCGCGTTGAATCATTCGACACCCGGTCGTACTATGCAATTAACATCCAATCAAACCGTGAATATCAACAAGCGCATTTCAGGGAACGGAAAATAAATTTGACAAGCTTAAAATTGGACTTTTACGATTTCCGAAAGTAAAGCGTATTCGAATAATACGCGGCCTCGTTACCTAGTTCCAAATCTCCGGATGTCCACACAGTTACGTTGAATGATTTTGTAACGTAATCCTATGGGTGCAGAAGTTATATTCGATTTGTACGCCGCATAGTTAAGAGGGCAAAAGGCGAAGGTTCACACCCCGAGTTAGGGCGGCTTACCATTTAGATAAGCATCAAAATCTAACTGCGCCGTAACACGAAACCTTTATTGGGCCGAGACAAATAAAAGATCGTTCGTAAAATGTTATCTACATGATTTTTAAACGTAAAATGTCTCGGAAACTGATACATTCAAAATCGTTCGTGTTCAGCAGTCTGAAAACGTTGCAGCGACGAGAATTAGGTAATAACGTTGTAATGACATCATATTATATAATGCTAACGTTGTAGCCGCGTGAGATATTACACAATACAGACACTGTATATCAATGACTTTTGCAATACAAGGGACCGTACATAAAAATGCCTAAAAGGGTTTCCTCTCCATTTTGTCCCTTTTCAAAGAATCCGGGTACAAAATGACCCTGGAGTATATTAATTTCGCCAACAAATTTTGCTATGGGGAACATGTTGTAAATGTTTTTGTAATTTTAGATCGTCCGGTTGAAGGGGAACATCTCGTGAAGCATAGTACTTCATCAGTGGACACCGCAGCTTGGTGAGTTGATATTTCAAATTCAATTTTTAAAGGTTTTCATGATTACCATTGAACCTACTAAGTAAAAAGTTTTCTACAAAAATACAATTTGTAACGCTAAACTTAGTGGTATTAGCTGAATTCATTGTTTTGTAGTCTTTGAATAAAGTGAATATAGGCTTAATTAGAATTAAAATGGAATCAACTCGTTCACACCGCCAATCACACAATTTGTCAGACCATACGAAGAACATACGATCGAACGCATAGAGGAAATTAAGGTATCTTATCTTTATACATAGTTTACTGATAGTTCCATGACTAAGTAACAACATTTTTTTTATTGACTAGATGGGTGGACAAGCTCAGAGTCGGCCTGTACCGGGGCCCATAGGCACCTACAACATATAAGCCGCCACCCACCTTGAGATAAGAGTTCTAAGGTGTCGGTATAGTTCCAACGGCTGCCTCACCCTTCAAACCGAAACGCATTACTGCTTTTCGGCAGAAATAGGCAAGGTGGTGGTATCTACCCGCGCGGACTCACAAGAGGTCCTACCACCAGTAATTATGCAAATTATAATTCTGCGGGATTGATTTTTATTACACGATGTTATTCCTTCACTGTGGAAATCAATCGTGAACATTTGTTAAGTGCGTATTTCATTAGAAAAATCAGTACCCGCCTGCGGGGTTCGACACCGTTGCATCATTAGATACGAATGCACCGGACGTTTTATTCTTTAGGCCACGACGACTTCGATAGCATACTTTACTTAAGATCTGCGTATCACATACTTTGAGGTAAAGCTTCTTACAGTGCTTGGGAAAGATAGAAACCAAGAATTCCAATTATCTCGGACAATTTCAGGCAGATGATTCTGATTGTATCAGAGACGAATGTATTTCAGAAGTAAATTTGGAGTGTCTGTCCTGCATGAATCACCATGGAAAAATATACTAACAACGGCATTCATTTTGCAGAAAAAAAACGGAAAAAAATACATCATCTACGTCTGTATGTGGTGCAAAAATAATCTACACTTTCACTTAAATTTAATAGCTTTTCTTTACTTCAACGGAGCCACATTACGAAGACTAAAGTTTTAACTCTCCCGTACGCATAAACCTTTAAAAGCAACCTATTAATGTTTTTATAGAAACATTTAACTCGTGCTGCTGTCCATTAAAAGGTTTGTTGTCGTTTCCACGAATGTAATCTCACTTATGTTAATGTTTCAGCTTTTCGAACGAAAGTAAATACATATGTTGTTGGTAGTTAATGGTTTGACCTGTCTTACGTTATGTAATAGTGGAACGGTGATCGGAATTAGACAGGTATTGTGATTCAACGATTTAAATTATCTACACATTAAATTCCCTACCAAATGCCACACTTTTGAAGTGCATAATGCGCCCAATGCACTAGAATAAAACGATCCGATTATTCGGCTGTTGAAATCCCGTAGACAGGTACCAATTTTTTAGGGAATATTTCCTGTGTGTTTTCACGAGCCACTTCTACTATGAAGCAATAACATAGTATTGTATTATATTGTAAATATAAAACCCGCTAATTTAGTAAATTTTGGTTTATCACGGAGTGATGCGTTCTAGTTTGAAAAGTGGGATAACCATTATATATTTCAATTGAGACATCGACCTCATGCCTGAATATGTGCACCATCTTTTACGTTCTGATATCTATGGTATCCTCTAACTACGTAACAAAAATTCTTAGTAATAAAATGATTAAAAAAATATGACGAAAAAAACTTTGACCAATCCAGAATATGGAATTTCATACGTAGAAAGCTTTCGATACAAATTAATGAAAGCGCAGGGTTTTATACCCATATTGAGTAAAAATACCAGTAAAAGGTCGGACTGTTGGACAAAGGAATTCTCCAGTTACGCAAAAACGAATCAGTTCTTACATAACCCTACCAAAGCTTCGATCCCTAGATATCTAAAGCCAGACTACATTATTGTATGCCTATGTGTTTTGCTTTAAAACACATTCATTTGAAATTGGTTTGAAAATGCTGGTATAGGATATCTTCAACTCGTTTTCTTCACACCAGTAACAATAACTAATAAGCTATAACAATAGCTTCTAAATTGCCCATATTAGTCTGACTACAGGACCCGACTTAAGGGGGAACAGATTGCATTGATCGGATCCAGTGAACCTAACTTATCGATAAGCGATCTGATATTCCAAATGTAGAAGTCCGACTCCCGCTGTCGACATCGCAAATGGAAGCCTTTTGTAAATTGCCTTCTTTCGGACTTTGCTCTTGTTGTAACCTACTTGTATAAATTTTACTTTTAAAATATATTTATGAGATCGTTAACATTTTACACTGCAATTGTATGCAGTAGCAGGTTTCCGGAGAAGATTACTTTAACTTAAATTTATTATTCGATATGCTAGTTGTAAAAAAGTTTTCATGGGTAAAAGGTCGCGGCATGACGCCGAGCCTTAAAGAATTGGCAAGGCGACCTCGGAACGTGTTATAACAGCTCAGGCATGTAAACTATTTTACTAAACTACGACAGAGTGAAAAGAAAGGTATGCGTATTAAATAAATAAACACATATAAATTCACACTGTATCTTTAGTACTTAGTAATTTACAAAAGCCGTTTTAAAGTGTTGCCATAAAACTAAAATGATTTCGCCATATTGACAGTGACTGATAAATGTAGAGCTTCTAACTCTATTTTATGAAATCGATCTATAATCGAATTTTATGAAGGCTAAGGAACTGAATTTCAGCCAAATCTAAAAATGCATCATACAACTCGAAAATTTAGAATACTTCTAATGACGATGCAATAATATTTTACCACCCAACTTGTTTGATTATACCTATGCCTGATACATGAGCCATTGTCTCTGGGTTCATTTAATAAAGTTTGCCATAGCGAGTGCTATTTAGCTCGCTTGATAACGAGGTCTGGAAAATGTGTGAGATGCTTGTTGTAAATAACTAATACATATTATACACTTTTAAATAAGTTCTTCGTAATCATGCTATGAAATAAATTTATTAATTTGAGTACAATTATGTTAGCACGGAAAACATTTATTTGTTAAGTGGTGCAGTACAAAAAAATGTTCATACGACTTTTTTTTGGCATTTATTACGTACTAGCGACCCACCCTCGCTTCGCTTCGGAAACATTAAATGTTATTGATTGATAGGCGAAACCCGCCATGTTGTACGACGCGCGGTACGACAATAAATGCGGGTGACGTCGCGGGGCGAAGCTAGTCTAAAAAGTAGCCTAAGTTACTCCTTAAATCATCAGCTACTTATTCATCTCATCTCTCATTGAAAGTCTCATCAAAATCGGTCCAGCGGTTCCAGAGATTAGCCGGAACAAACAGTCAGACAGACAGACAAAAATTGTAAAAAATGTTATTTTGGTGTATGTACCGTATATATATATATTCATATGCATGTAGTAAAAAGCGGTTATTTCAAAACTACAAATAGACACTCTAATTTTATTTATATGTATAGATTACTAATAAAATAGAATTGTTTCAGGGTTTTAAATATCCATGCAATTTTTATATACAGTCTTTATCACATGAGATTGGTCTGGCGAGCTATTGGGGGAGCCGAGGAAGGTACTACTGGGGGCTCGCTGAGGCTCCTCGAGGCAGCCTGTGCTACTGCACTCCACTACACCGACTTAGTCCACGGACAACTCGCCGATCAGGGATATTACGAGAACCACGGTCGGTATAGACCAATATATATATATATATATATTTTTTTTTAATTGCTTAGATGGTTGGACGAGCTCACAGCCCATCTGGTGTTAAGTGGTAACTGGATCTCATAGACATCTACGACGTAAATGCGCCACCCACCTTGAGACATAAGTTCTAAGGTCTCAAGTATAGTTACAATGGCTGCCCCACCCTTCAAACCGAAACGCATTACTGCTTCACGGCAGAAATAGGCAGGGTGGTGGTACCTACCCGCGCGGACTCACAAGAGGGCCTACCACCAGTATGAGTATCGTCATCATAGGCGGTTAGTCTTAGCAGAGCAGTCGTGGTCATGTGGAATTCTTGTTTATTAAAGCCTTGCCAGATGTTCTCCTTAGTTTACGAACTGAAGCTTGTCGCACGCACTCGTTAAGTGAGGTTTTAGTAAGGTCTTTGACCTGATCAGTCCAACACATGGGGATTCATCATGTGTATACAAGTATCTTTAGTGTTGTAGATGGAACTTGCTTACGACCTACTTGGTATTAAATATTTACTGAAGAGATCATCCTAAATATAATATCCCCCACCCGTTTGGACTCATGAGACCGTCCTTAGAAACGGAACGCATGACTGATTCACAGCAGAAATAGGTTGGATAGAATACTGATCCCTACACGTGTGCTTAAATACACCTTACAATTTCACAATAATATTGTGTCCCTTCATTTCGAAACAGAACTTGAGATAATTTGTTCTGAATAATGTATATTAATTTAACTCGTATAGAATATTTTCTGTTGCTGACTCCTAACCGAAAATTGCTGAAAAAGACAATAAGGCAGCTGTAGCTCTAAATGAAGCTACCTATATTTAGTAATAAGATTGAAATCGAAATTACAAATAAAAAAAATATATACCGAATTATTTCTAATAAGAACGTCACTGCTTTTATAAATCGCTAGTTTACATTTATGCTATGTAGAAAAAAAAGTTTCTATATAATTCTATAAAACTATACAAACCTACTATTCCGTGTATACAATCAATATTAATTGTTTATATTGTATTTATGTAATCTACATAGGTCAAAACAAAACAACCGAGGAAATATGCACGATCGTGAATAATCTGGAGTACGTCCGACGCTCGCTCTCTGAGTACGACGATGAACACATGTAAGTATGAGATTATTCCTGACTCGCATCGTATTGTAGATAATCGAGCCCACACAATCAAATCACACCTATTAAATCGATACAACATTCGTCCCATTATATCGTTTACAGATATGTTTAACAATGTTTTCTTCTGAAATATTTGAATACATTTTCATGGTGTGTGGCGGCATTTACGTTGTAAATGTCTATAGACTCTAATAACCACTTAACACCAGGTGGGCCGTGAGCTCTTCCACCCATCTAAGCAATAAAAAAAAAAAATCTTTTTACGAGTAAAACGAATGCACAATTCTGATATTAAGCGTTCAAAGTCAATCGAGAACATAATGTGTATGGAATCTTCCATAATACGCATCTTTCAGACATTTTAGCTGTAATAGGTTCATAGTTCTCTTAAGGTACGTATGAAAATTCGTGTTAAAAATGGGCAAGGCAGTGGTGCCTAAGCAACTGTGCTCATAGCCCCTAAATAGTTATTCAAGGTTCACTTATTTACGAAATATATACTAACATTCTTTTCTTATGATCCAGTCGCTCGTTTCTACTTACGTAGGGTCTATTTAAAGAACGTGTATTATAATTGTTAAAATGCTACTCACAATAAAATGTCTTTAATTTAAAAAAACTACGAATTGACGATTTAAACCAAAAATTAGTTCTGTCCTCTATTGCAACGAAGACTTTGCAATGAAGACGATAACATTCTATCTTTATACATCAAAACACAGTTCGCTGATGCTCATCGTAGTGTGAAATATGCAACCTAACAAGCGAGAGAAATTTCCATGAAATACACGAAGCGTCAAAATTTACAAGTACTGAAAGGTGCGTCATTCTCGCGGATCCCGTCTAGCTGCATGTCAGAATCATTCGAGTTTAACTAATAGCGAAATAACGAGCACACATTCTAAAATCTACAGACTGCTGATATTTCTCAAAATAGATCTCTTTATATTATTATAGCGTTCATGGAAATTTTAATTGAATCATAAAATCCTTTTTGCGAATAAGGAAAATAACGAGGAATCAAATAAACCTACATTACAAGTTTCACTGAGCAAATTATTCCTGAATATTGAATTCAAGTATGAAAGCTGGACTTTGTAAATTATTTGCATCGAAACCGTAGCTTCCACTGGTTCGCTTTCAGCAAAACTAATTGTAGCAAGTCCTTTGATGTATAAAATCCACACATATATATCTGTAGCTGTTCAAAGATTAAAGGGTATTTTCCGAACAACATGTTGCGATGTAAACATGTCGTAACTTCATTTTATTATTTACATTAATCCGTCACTTTATAGGGACATTGTACACAAACCATTTAACTCTCTGTTAACGATGAGTTAAATTTGGCAGATCTGGGCTTTTCAAATTGAGAAGGGTTTTGTTTATTTACGTCTTTTTTATGGTCATACTTATTATGTTCTATCAATTTGATTGTTATATTGCTTTTGAATAGGAAAAGGTCTCTGGGGTAAGAAGGGATCATTTAATTATACGAGTATCCNTAGGGACATTGTACACAAACCATTTAACTCTCTGTTAACGATGAGTTAAATTTGGCAGATCTGGGCTTTTCAAATTGAGAAGGGTTTTGTTTATTTACGTCTTTTTTATGGTCATACTTATTATGTTCTATCAATTTGATTGTTATATTGCTTTTGAATAGGAAAAGGTCTCTGGGGTAAGAAGGGATCATTTAATTATACGAGTATCCGAAACCTTTACAGTCAACGAGTCATGGATATACACAAATATAGCGTTAGTAATTTCGATTTAAAGCCGCGAAACTGATAATTACTTGCGTCAATGCAGAGCTTCCGGGCTTGTTTGAACAATAATGAAATGACTATCGGAATAACTTGCCTGTTCCGAAGTGAAAATATTTGTAAAATTGTTATCTGATCTTTGTTACTACAACATTTATGACAACGTAACATATTCCAATTATTGTTTGCAATAATTTTCTGAGCACATAAATCTGAAATGTAAATGTTTCCATTCAATCCTTTTTTAGAATTTCAGAACGGTTTTAAGTGATTATTCCAAATATAGCATATTGATCATATTTCTTTTTAAGGTAAATGAAAACAACATAACGCATTTTTTTGTTCGAAGGTTTAGTTTGACACTTGTATTAACAGTTTTAATTAAAAAATTTAACTTTTGAATATTATGAATGTTTTACTATTACTATATTTTTTCTATTTAATACTAATTTCCTAAATACCTATTTTACAGTTTTTGTGCTCATGGTTCAGTCCAAAAATCATTAATTACATCTTAAAGTAAAAAATTTGAATTTTTATATTCAAACATTTATCATCATGTCGGTCTTAAAATAAAATTGTAGTCAACCAATCTCTTTGATATATCAAATTTGTACTAGAAACAGTTTTTAGTAAATGCTAAGAAGTAGAAAGAACGTTAAGTTTCGTTGAAATGTCAAAAAGTGGTGCTTTTTTACATAAGCTAAGATTATTTAGAAAATCTTTCTTCGAAACCCCACCCTGATATAGCAAGCAATACCATACAATTTGATATTACATAAATCGGTGTTTAGACTTCTTACTTTAAACACTACACAAGCGCAACGTGTGAAAGTGTTGAGCGCGAGCTACATAGTAGGCGTAGTGAGGGGTGGAAGGTTTTTTTCGTTACGGAATTTCATAGTTCCGCTCTCAAGCCGCGCTCAATGCCCGCGATAAAATCTATGCAATAGCTTAAAAACTAACTGTTGGTTTCAAATTTATAGAAAAAGTTTTTAATGCTAAAAGAAATAATAAACTAAATACTGCCGCAAAATATTCGATAGTAAAAAAACCATACTCCTTGTAAAACAATCTCTAATGATGTTTATAAACGAATGTATCGGTTACGTAAAATAATGTACAATCTCCGTAACATGACATATCTAGCGATCACTTTCAGTTTGCGTTTATTCAAATTCCTTAAGTTAAGTTTAAGGAGATCTGAATAATATTTTGCTGTGCCCGTGCTGGTTTGACCGGAATCTAATTTGCTGTCAAGATAGATAATTAACCAAACATTTAATAAGTTATCAAATACCTACCACTTTACCAGTCCAAATCCTTTCAACGTGATGGGCATCGTTATCATGAAATGTTAACATGAAAATCGATATGGTTTTGTATGATAATCTATATATGTATATATAAAAGTGAATTGCTGTTTGCATGTATATAAAAGTGAATTGCTGCGGACCGATTTGGCTAATTTTATATGAATAAATATGAAAATTCTCTGAATTAAATAGAAAATAAAAATTTTGTTTTACCTTTGATGTCCCCCCCGTCGGACGGATTCCTTTTGTTTGTTAAGTTTATTTTATACAAAAGTTTGAGTCTTTTATTTATCGATTGAGGCACTACGAAGTCTGCTGGGTCAGCTAGTACTTTCAATAGAATTACTGCCTTTTAGCTTAATTTTACACTGAAAAATATGTTATATAATTAGTGCCAGCGATGAGAACTCCCGTCAGCTAGTGCGCGGTGCTCTGGGTACTCTGGACGCGCGATCCGCTCGTGCTGCCGCCCCGCTGGCCGCAAGAGCACGGCCGCCTCTACGCAAGGCTGTGTTCCATCTAGCGTGGTCACCCGACACGCTACCTACCATACAGGTACGTACTTCTGTTTGTTTGAGATGTTGTTTTGATGATGAGATGTTTTGCGGTAGGCAGCGGTTTGGCTCTGCCCCTGGCATTGCTGAAGACCATAGCGGAGGTAACCACTCACCATCAGGTGGGCCGTATGCTCGTCTGCTAAAAATGTATCTATATAAATACATATCTTATCAAATATAAAACTATATATTTTATATCCTCGTATAGGCCATAACTCCACTTTTGGAGTTCCTAGACCAGCACCTGTCAGCGTTGAATACATGGCTGCTTCCCCGTGCCTTCCTCCGAGCTCTTGCTGGTTGCTGGAGCGCCGTACTCAAGGAAGTGTCAACGCAAGCTGATGCTGGCGGTGCTGAGAGACCTAGGGTGTACCATCACAGACTGAGAGAGGCTCTTGACTTACTCGCCGAGTTCTTCCACGCTGAAGGAAAAGGCATGTATCCTTAACTTACGTATCTACGTGGTTTCTCAAATTATTATTTATCCATTAAAGAATAAGAATTTTGCTAATATGAGTAGACAAGGATATCAAGATAGAGTAGTATTCTTGGGTTATGTAACCAAAAATTACATACTTCAATACTCGAAAAGCTTATTTGTCTCTTTTATTTTTTGTAATTTAAGAACTTGTTTAATTTTATTTATTGTTGTGAATTTTATTCTGTGCAAGCTTAAGAATGATCATTGTAGTATTTTACCATAACATGACCGCTTCGTTTTATATTTAGAGATGGTAATTGTCATTAACCTAACAACGAACACGAGGTTAATGACATTTACCACCTATAAAAGTTATCTGAGCCCCTATCTATGGTCGATCATACTAGGTGACCGATAATTGCTGTGCGATATGATACTGCGGATGATCGCAAATCGCTATGAAACACGTGGTGGTGTATATTTTAAGTATGCACGGGTACTTACCACCATCCTGTCAAATTCTGGGGCGAGCGGCATACGTTTCGGTTTCAAGGGTCGGACAGCCGTTATACCGAATCAACTTCGATCTCATGTTCCAAGGGGGGTAGTAGTATTCAGTGATGTCCATGGACCCAGGTAACTTCACACCGGATATGCGCTCTGTTATGATACCCTCGGGTTCCTAGCTTTGCTTTCATAATCACCTTTCCCGAATAGCATCAGCAGTTATGATCCTTTATTAAAGAACAATCCCCTCCCTAGTTCGTCAGTCCTATTCCTAATTCCACACGGCACGGTTGCCGTCATTAATCGTCGTGAAAACTTTATATATTCATTTCGTCAATAAAAATCTTTTTTAAAAAGATATTTTTTCAATTCCGTATAACAGCTCCTTCATTCATGTATGCGATAAAAAAGCCTGCCTTTATTTCCATTATAAATGTTTTTTTTTCTCTTTTTTTTTCTTTTTATTGATGAACAAAACAAATTACAACCATAGAAATTATAAGTTTAAATGTTTAACATAACAATCTGGATTGCAATTCAAGTCAGGTGCATACAGAAAAAAAATTAAAAACTGTACCGATGTCTAAATACCATGTATACATACACACACGCTCACAAACACACACACACACACTACCACACGCGCGCACACTAACACACCCATGTGTAAGTTACTATCTGATTAAATAAAATCTATCATACATATTGAATATACATAGTTACTTTTGTCAACATTTTAGAGAACTTTATTCAATTCTCAACGCTTTGACGAGGAAAAGTACACGCTCAATGTTTTCCAATTAAAAGTTACTTTAATTAGTTTTTCGTTTGAGTTACTAAATAAAATTAACACGAACCAATGGTCAATTTACAGTCAAATTTGAAACGCTAACGAAAGCATTTCTTTTTGACATTTTTNATATACATAGTTACTTTTGTCAACATTTTAGAGAACTTTATTCAATTCTCAACGCTTTGACGAGGAAAAGTACACGCTCAATGTTTTCCAATTAAAAGTTACTTTAATTAGTTTTTCGTTTGAGTTACTAAATAAAATTAACACGAACCAATGGTCAATTTACAGTCAAATTTGAAACGCTAACGAAAGCATTTCTTTTTGACATTTTTGATAGCTCTTTAACTTTTTAAGTTGTAAAACATTCAATCTATAACAAGGAAATATTTCTAAATGAAATAAACCAATATGATCTACTGAAGCGAATAGATAAACCTGAGCAAGTTTTTTTTTTTTTTTTATGTTTGAAAGATTACTGGTGGCCCGGAGGCCTTTCCAGCTTCACCAGGACAGGTGGGCGAGCAAAGGCTCAGCCAGGAGGGGTGGGATTTGCTAACAACTGCCTGAGCGCCTCCGAAGGAGACCTAACAACTCAAGAGCAATTGCTTCGCGAATGAATCTACTACCGGATCGGAATCGCGACCCACTGAGAAGATCCGGTGAGAAACTCAGCGGGCTGATGCATGGGTTAGGTTGCACGTCGACCTCTTTGTCGAGTTCGACGAGTACGGTTACCGGGGCTCCTCAGCCTGCTCCTAGTGTTAGAGCTGAAGGTATCTAATGCAAGAGTTATTGGATCTGATGGATCCGTAAGGACGTGTCTAGGGCGACGACGGTGACTTGCTCCTGCGTGATCAGGATTCGGGGAGTAATCAGCGGTGGCAACGATAAGGCGATTACCATGACGCATAGCCTTATCGAAGTAACGTTCCGACATTGACTTCATGTGTTTGCGGATCGATTCGAGGCCCAGGTCATCGTGTAAGTCGATGTTCCTCACGAACCACGGAGCCCCGACGGCTAACCTGCAAAAGCGGGATTGTAGGGATTGGAGGGTGTCTATATGTGTGCGGGCCGCGTGAGCGAACACCACACTCGCGTAAGTCATGACGGGCCTTATGCAAGTTTTGTAAAGTGTCACCTTGTTCCGAAGGGACATTTTACTCCGCTTACAGATCATGGAATAGAGTCTGCCGAGAACAAATGCGGCACGGTCGCGGACTGTTTTTATATGCGGGCGGAATGTCATGAATGCATCCAGGGTGACTCCCAGGTACTTGACCTTCCTGGCCCAGGGTATAAGTTGGCCGAAGAGGGTGATCGGGGGTGTGATATTTCTCCTCCTAATGCGGGAGGAAATAAGCGGTGAGTTTCCCCTTTGAAATAACACTGCTGTGCTTTTCGCTGGGTTGATGTCTATGCGCCATTTTCGGAACCACTGTCCGAGGGTTAACGCTGTCCTCTGGAGTTTACTCGCGATTAGGGACTTGTTTCTACTTGAGTAGAAAACGGTTGTGTCGTCAGCGAATAAGGCTAGCTGGGTCGGCGGCGACCGGGGAATATCATTGACAAATAAACTAAATAGGAGCGGGGAAAGAACGGAGCCTTGCGGGACTCCAGCCGTGAGTGGTCGCGGGGAGGAGCGGGTTCCCTCTGCTCGATATCGAAAAGAGCGGTTAGACAAGAAGTCCCGTATGATGAGCACGAGACTGTCCGGTACGCCCATGTTGAAAAGTTTGAAAATCAAACCGTTGTGCCAGGCTTTGTCGAACGCTTCTGCGACGTCGAAGAAGAAAGCTCCCGTGTAGATCGGTTTTGACCTGAGTAAGTGTCGTATTGACAAGATTACAAATAATTGTTTTTAAAAAATTGATAAAATTTAGTTAATTTATTTATAAGAAATAAAGACTTCTATGATTTATAATTTTATTTATTTTCTGTATTTAGTTACCTATATAATAATTAAATGCTTTAACTTTAACAACATATAAGTTTAGGGGCATCCGCTACAAGATGTTGCTAGTTCCCATGCAAAAAAAGACTTGTCTTAAAGTCTCGCAGTGTCAGGGCCCTGATCATACCAGTAACGAGTCTAGATTTTGACTGACATCTATACCAACGGCTGTGTCATTATTTATGCTGTTTATCTAGGTTTTTTCTTAAAATAAATAACATCGGTTCAGGCCTTCCGATGACGGACGTCCACAACTTGGAATGGGGTCGCGTAGAACAACGCATGCAGTATCATCAGGCACCGACTGAGGAGTTGCTCGAATTATGGCTCGCCGACAGACTGGCTGAGCAGGCTCGGACACCAATGCCTTCGCCATATGGATCTATACTTGTCAGGTATAACTATCAGTGAAAACACTCCTAAAAATGTGTGGCGTCGTGGGACACCGGATAGGAACGAATTTCCTTATTATAAAAATATTAATTTTAAATTCTATTCGAGGTATAAAGAAAATAATTATTCGGGTATACAATTTTTATTATGATTATTTATTGATAAAAATAAAATAAAACTACTTTATAAAGTTATCAACTTTATTTTATTCACAATGATTTATAAAAAATATATAATAAAAATATGTTATTTTTTGTACGTTATTACAAAATTAAGTTGTACACTGTGTGCATTACTAATAAAAATCTTACGTTACGGACGTTTTTCCACGGTTAGGGTACGCCTCCGCATCGTCCCATAAGGAACTTCGTTCCAAAAAACATTTTCGTTTTAGATTCCATGGATAACTCACCAGGCGGCTACCCATATTGAGACAGAAGCTGCAAAATCAATAAAATTTAAATACGTCTGTCCTACCCAAAGTAGAAATAATTTGCTAATATTAATTAAATACCAGGGATATTCTAAATACGCAATTTCCTTGTGAATCCCTACATGGCTTTAGAGACTTCGTGGGGAGATTTACGGTAGAGCGATCGGCATGAACAAAAGATATGTTTTCACGATTTACAGTGAGATTAAAACACACACACAAATCGCAGAAAACCTTAAGAAATATTTAAAATTGTTCCTGGCATCAATGATATGCATAACCATGAAGTATACATATACACTATGTATACTTTTCTAGTTATTATTCAGTTAATATTTTATAATTGATATCTTTAAAAATCAATTGAGTATTCATTTAATCGGATTTCGTTTTAAAGGGAATTCATTCATTCATTCAATCACTCGAAAAATCCAAATCGGGTCTGATCTTTGAAAAATCCTGTCGTATTGATTCTGAAGTGGTTCTAATGAAGTCGTTTGTATCGCAGAGTGTATTTCAACCACGACTCGCTCTGCGTGGAGGTGTTGTCCGCGCGTGACGTGATCCCTCTGGACCCGAACGGCCTCAGTGATCCGTTCGTAGTGCTCGAACTTCTTCCGAAGCGACTCTTCCCTAAAGCCCACGAGCAAAGCACAAATGTTCAGAAGGTGAGTGAGCACAAACATTAGTGTTGCTGGTAATGTATTTTTTTTGACAAATAAAATAAACAAACTCGCATATTTTACATATACATACATATGTATGCCTTTATAAATTCGGTATGTGAAGAGTACAGTTTTGAGTATTTTACTGAACTTCGTTTCACAGTTTTCGTGGTCACGGACGACTAAGGTGTTATTCGTCGACATTTAAATATTATGTTAACAATCTTAAAAGAATTTTTAAAAAATATTTTTAAAACTTTTCGTTTCTATTCACACATAACTAACGAATAGTATCTTGATTTACTATTTTATTTTGTTATTTATCAATGACTATTTTATTTTATTATATAAATCGGAATATATGAATTCGTGGAGGTCGATTGCTATAATACGCTGGAGACAAAAAGTTTTTTTTTTTCTTAAAAAGCACCCCATTATCAACTGGTACTCGAAAGGAATTTTATGAGTTAGGTTCAATGCTTTTGCGTTCTAAAACAACGGTTCAGACAATTTTTCGAAATGAATTATTATAATTCTGGATTCTAAGGGTCTGTGCACACCACGTTTTTTAAACGCGCCGTCGATGCGCGTTTGTAGCGATACAGACGCGATACGCATGCAAGTCAGACGAAACCTGTAGATCTTTGCACACCTGTATAAATTCAAATACGCGTTTGTATCGATACAAACGACAACAAACCGCTCTGTAGGATAAAACGCAATGTGCACAGGCCCTAAAAGTCATATTTGTGTAGATGTAATGTTGTACTTTGGGAGGTGTTAAAGGAAAACGTCTTCTTGCGTGTATTCCATGTTTAATTATCATCTTAATCCTAGTTTACAATTATGAAGAAGCCTATGTTTCTGGGTGATCCGCCTTATCAGGGGGACATACGAGATTACACCTATTAATTATGTTATATACTAAATGCTATGCTAATACTATGCTATACTATAATATATAAGTATACACACTTCATAGAAAACTCTGAACCCCGTGTGGGACGAGTGCTTCGAGTTCGCGGTGTCGTTGGAGTCGTGTCGGTCGTCGCAAGCGGCGCTCGCTCTGTCCGTGTGGGACCGGGACGTCTTGACTGCAGACGACTTCGCCGGTGAGGCGTTTATTCCGCTGTCGCGCGTCCCCGGGGTGCACACTCACGCGCCCCCCGACCCCCTGCGTCCCGTCGAGCTGCCCCTCATGCAGCTCCATGACAGGAGTAAGTATAATAAAAGCATTTTGACGCCAAAAAAAAAAGAAAAACGACGACCCACAGAAAACGGAAAATAGTCATTCATTGTCATCGTAGTTCTATTTTTGCTTAGATGGGTGGACGTGTTATGTGGGAACTGGAGCCCATAGACATCTACGACGTAAATGCGCCACCCACCTTGAGATATCAGTTCTAAGGTCTCAGCATAGTTACAATAGTTACGGCTACCGACCTCTTTTAATTACAAACATCTTCATATTATTTAAAACAATTCCTCAGTTGCTCGAATTTCGAACTTAAGCCTTAATTTTCTTTCAAAATCAGCTGAAAAAGATATTACCTGGTTTTTTAATAGTCATAAAATGTGAATGTAGTTTTTTAGATCACACTCAACAACGAGAGGCGTGGTTAGTTTATGGATTTCTATTAACTTTTATAGCGATCACTACAGTGATGGCTATTAACCTCAATTAAGAACGTAAAAAATAAGAGATACTAAAAAATAATTTCGTTTTCATAAAACCTATTCCTATATGTGAAAATCGAGATATAATAAACATATATTATAAAATAAAAAGTAGATTAATATATATAGGTATATAGATTTTTTCGTGTACGTAAAGAGCAAATTTAAATCTGAAACTTATGAGAAATGTTTGCGTTTTCTAATCACATCGTCTTCTCGCATTAAAACTGTATAATCTCAAAACTTACTAATTATACAGGAGAGTGTTTTAAAGGTTTAACATGTAATATTTTTAATATTAATCATATTTGCAACATTATTATTTTTATTTTTTACCAGTTACATTATCTGTCTTTTAAAGTAAGATAAAATTTTGTTAATAGTAGTTAAAACATTAAAAAACTTAAAAAAAAACAATCTAAACTACGCTCTTTTGACAGTATTTATGAGAAAAAAGTACTGGTGATACCAAATGTTTACGCATATTAACTCAATTTCGAATATTTTTGGAAATTGTAAACTTTTAATGCGAAAAGACGACACGTTTAATACGTTAACAAAAATTGACAATATTACATGATTCATAAATAATTAAGTAAAGTAGGTACTGTAATGAACCATGTATTTCCAGATCATCCGATATTGCAGATACTGGAATCTCGCACCACCGATAAGTTCGCCATGGATTTCGTTAAAAAACAAAAATTGCGTTTTGCTGAACAGTAAATTTTATTTATCCTTTAAGATGCTACACTTCAATGTCTGTATTTACGCACAACATCCTTTGAATTTCGACAGATTAGAAAGAAAATCAAACCATTAAATTCGTTCATAATACTTCAAAATAACAAGTTACGTTGTCAATGTTGGAGTACATATTTATTTCTTGAATAAGATGTATGTAGTTGAACATCAGTATTAACGTTTAAAGTACTACAAAGACTGTTTGTAATTCTTCTATCCACGAGAGAATATGTATAAAATATAATATGTGTATGTGAAACTTTTAATGCATTTTTATATGTGTATAGAAACTACGCACCCTCGGAGCTTATGTCCTTAGCCGTTAGTCTCTATTAGAAGTTCCCGACCAAGTACTTTAAGACTTGTATCACTATTTCTTAAAGTATAATCTAGACTTTGTAAAGTCCTATTTTAAATAGATTTTACATAATCAAGCTCTAAAAGTAAATAAACAATTTTCCAAATTTTTAATAAACATGATATTTTTTTCTTTCTTTTTAGAACTTCTATAACGTGCCAAGTAATATTATTTATCGAGCATACATGCATATCTTGTATACATCTGCGTTGTTATCTTTCAAACGTTAATAAATCAGAATACGGGGTGTATTGAAACCGTTCTCGAACGAAAACAGATTTTATTGTTAGCATGTTACAAATCTAATAAATCTAACCGATTCAAAATTAACGCATGAAAATAAAATCACTGGTATAAAAAAATCATTGTAATGTGGCGGGTAGCCATCATACAACGCAAGATATTTGACAGATGCCTGAATCTCACTTACGACATTTCCAAGATAAGCTTGCATGAAACAAGTTCCGAACAACAACGTTTGGACCGTCGGTCTACCGAGCAATATCACCTGCTCGGTGGAAGATCTTTGCATTCGTCGTTAATCATCTCCACACTAAGCAATGACTTTTGTAGTGCACGTAATGTAACACAAATAAAAATCAATTAGTGCATTGAAACTATTGTTTCGAGGGAAAGCTGTGTGCTTCTGAAAGCTGCTTTCGCGTTACATTACTGGCTCACCTCTGAACCTAACAAAATGACAAATACTCATGTATAACTTAATTTAAACACATTGTTTTTCGTTCTAGTTAAATTACTGTTTTATTCACGTTACGAGAACGATCTCTTCACACCCTGTTTGTATGTAAACGATTTATATTAGCACACTCTTTAAAAAAAAAAAATCCCAGTAGTTCCTATCTAAGCAGTGTTGTTGTTTCAAATTGTTTATGTGAACCAAGCACGATATCGAGCTTTGTAACAACCGTCAAATAATATATGTAACTTTACGTTTTACTTTGTCTTTGTCGACAGATTTTCGTCGCTAGTTTTAATGAATAATATAAATATAATATGATATAGGGCTTTTCACTAACACAGTCTCGGAAAATAGTATTATTATAGTAGTATACACGCCGTTGATATCCACGGCGTGTTTTCTGAAAGTTTTTCTTAAAATAAAATATAGATGATGTCAAAGTGAAAATACTTTAATTTCGAATCAATTTCATGTTTCATGAAAAGCCCAGCATCGTTATAAATGTTTTAAATATATCTTTATGTAAAATTTTATGTTCAATTTGTAGTTATACAAATAAATATAAGTATATTATTATCATAGGAAAAACATGTATTTCGATGTCTTTAATAAATTAGCAATCAAACATAATATATTGTCGTGTAACAATTTGGAATAAAACCTTATACGTATATTTATAAATGTTTTCTAAATAACGGTAGGTAATTGGAAAGAATCAAATCGTAGGTAACGTGGAATGATCTCGTAGAAATTATAATCATCTACGACGAGGGAAACTAGAAATAAAATTTCAATTCATTTCAAAAAAATTCTGCTATTTATTCTGAATCTCGAAAACGGAATCAAAATTATACCGGAAAGTCAGGGGAGAGCAAAAAAAAACACTTTTCACTTGCTGACTTGCAAAAGTCGAGAAGCATACATCAAAAAATAGAATAACATATCTAATACAATACATATAAAAATCTTTCAATTAATTTAGGTATGGATTCTTAATTGTTGAAAATATCCATCCGAAATTACAATTTTGAAACATATTTAAACCTTTTTAAATTCAATGAATTTTGTACATGATAACTAATATAATTTTTAGATTGAGCAGTTTAAAATAAAGTTTATTATTATTGATAAATTAAAGAATGTTTTTAACTGTAATACATGTATCATTGTTTGTCCAAATAATAAGATATTTTATTTTTCAATTCATAGGGTAGCCATATCGGTACAATTTATCATATCAGTATCAAAATTAATAATTCATAATAAATTTTATCAATTTTCACAGCGTCACAAGTCACGAGAACATTACGTTTAAGACAAATTAAACATAACATCAATTATATTTTGTAATGCAATCGGCATATCTCAGTTCATCGGCTAATCAAAACTTTAGACATTCTTCTTAAGATCATAAAAATAAGTGAAAGACGAATTTTTTCGCGAACCTTGACCATTCCAGGCGTCAATTAAAAATAGGCTATGCGAAAATTATTTTACAAATTATATATTATATATATTTTGGTATGTATTGCTTTAAGATTTGAAGAAGACTACATTTTTAATGCAAATTCATAACTGACTTTTAAATTATTTTATGCAACATTTTGTAACGAAAAATATCTTTGATATTAGTTATATTTTTACCTGAAAAAAATTTGAAAGGGAGTGAGCCTGCGAGTCTGAGATCGTTTCGGCTTATTGCAAGGGTTCTTTGCTATGAAATAAATGTGTTACAGGACTTTGCTCTTACGTCATAAATGTAACCTGATTCTTGCGTTATGAATGTCTACTTATATTTAAAATATAAATGTTTCTATTATACTATATACAAATTATGCTATTTAAAATGTATTGCAACTAGGATTGTGTGTCGAATTTATTTGAAGCTGAATGTTTATTATAATATAATATGTGTCGTTAACACTTGTGTTCCTGGCTTTAATAAATTAATAAATGTATTAAACATGTCATTGAGTTTAATTTAAAGAAAATCGTCTATATTATCATTGAATAATCTGACTAATTGAAATATAGGAACTAGGTTGACTGATCAGACCTCCAAATTAAAGTATAGAGAAAAACTTCATTAAGATGTAAAATTTATAGAAAATATAGAATAATATGAGCGGTAAAATTTTAGCGGTAGGCAGCGGCTTGGCTCTGCCCCCGGCATTGCTGAAGTCCATGGGCGACGGTAACCACTCACCATCAGGTGGGCCGTATGCCCGTCTGCCTACAAAGGCAATAAAAAAAAAAAAAGTACAAGAATCAAGTCCTTAAAAATAATGCTCCTTCCATATTCGTATTGTACTTTGGGATACATTGTCATTGTGTGTATGTGTGACAATACTGTCAATGACGTCATCAAAACACTAAAACTCCATGCAGAATGATGCTAATCCCGATATCCAAACTATTTGGAACATCTGGGTCTACGGTGACACATTCATTATCTGTATGTTCTGTCGTGTATTCCATTAGTTTATTTACGATAAAGTTATTTTTTAAAAGCCCTCTTCTTCGGTGTACTATCACACCGCTAATGTCCGTACAGTATATTCCTACTATCTGGTGCCACTACGTTCATCAACAGTACATTTACAAATACCATTTTAACCACTTACCATACGATGTTGAAATTTCACAGAAAAATGGAAATGGTAATAAACACCTTCATTAACTGAAATTTAATTAAAATATAGTCTCCCTACTCGGGATAAGCATTACCAAGTTATGACTTCGTTATTGACAAGTTTAAGTATTTCCTCAGCTAAATAATTGTTATATCTAACGTTCATGAATAAGACCGTCAATAAAATAATATTTACAGCTTTATTATCTTTTCGGTTTATGGTCCTTAATCAATGAAGTCATTTATTGAAGCAGCCGACGATAGTTTGCTCGTTAACGAACTGGGGGGTAAACAGTTACTCGTCATGACTACCCCTCGATAAACTTATGATCTTCGAATCAATAAGTGCAAACAGTTAGCGCTAACAAGCTGTGTGAATTCTCTTAGAAATATACGCTTCACCGAACACAGCTCTCTCCATCTGTTTACTCTTAGAAACTAGAAGTGGAAATGATATGAAAATATAATTCTTTTTTTTTTTTCCTACCTATGCTGATAGCCTTGAGAGGCTATTTCAGCTTCACCCTAACGTTTGTAGGTGAGCTCGCGGGGCTCAACCGGAGAGTTGCTAACACTGACCCTAGCAAGAGCAGTGCTTCGCAGAATCTACCACCGGATCGGAAACGCGACCCACTGAGAAGATCCGGCGAGAAACTCAGTGGGCTCGATTCATCTTTAAATCATTTCGCTTCTCTTATACTTAGGACACACGGATATAGAAAATAATGAATGTTCTGGCAAATATTGTCTGAAATGTAAAAAAAATACATTCCACGAATCTATTCCGTTTACTAGTAATGAAAATTCAAGTGAAAATCGAAACGAAATGACAACAAATTTATTTTGTGGAGCAAACAAAACGTGTAAACACTCCCAAACTGCTTTTAATTTGAGTTATCCACAATTTTGTATCAACGCTATCGAATTTTCCCTGATGAACACTGCCTAACGTATTGAGAATGTTATCTAAATTGCACACTCGAAAGCTGGCGAGCGACGCCTTCAGCGTCAAGGGCGGCTGCCTGTTTGTGGTTTATTAAAATCTCATGAACAACGTCCCAATACAGTCGTAGTAGCGCTTACACTTCCATATGTGTAATCGCTACGGCATATGTGTATCTTAAAATTCATAGTGACGAAGACCAAGAATCCACTAATATTTCTTTATCTTTGAAATTACTAGAAATACAAAGTGGGAGTTGAAATAATGGTACCCAGCGCAGTCCTGGCAGCACTAATCAGGACTAAGCACCATTATTTCCTAGTCCTCTCGAAAGTGAATGAAATGCGAAGAAGAAGAATAAAAGTCATTATTACACTGACGCCAGCTCAAACAGATAGCATATCAATTTAGCTAGAAACAAATTTATAAAGCTATTATTAATGGCATCGAAACTTTGTTATATATTTTAACAAACATAAAGATGTTTATAAATCTATTAAAATTTTAGTTGTACTCTATCTTATAGAGCATTGTGGACTCTTTGTGGAGAAAACCCATTTAATAATTTTATCTTTGCACGCTTTGAGAAGAGGATTCAATTTTCTTGTGACTTCCTCTTGTTGCCTCCATATTGACGTCATAAAGACAAATCTATGTAGGTTTATAGATATAAAAATACGGAACCCTCCCTCTTTTCCGCTGATAAACATCACTTTATATTATGTCCCTAATGCGTGACATAATAAGCAATATGTATCACAAGTATTGTGTCACAGATGTTCTGCCATAAATATAAGTCATTGTTTTTAATAAGTAGTTGCGTAAATAAGTATATACAATCTGATTTAAAATATTTTATCTTCATGATATGCAAATGGCAGTGTTTTTCCGCAATTTTTCGCTGTAGACATGAATAACACAATGAAGACAATACAAAAATAATAATTTTGTAAGTAATTCTCGATATTTATTTCAACCAAATATCATAATATCTACAATAGACACAGATTATACAGCTAAGTAGAAATTTCATCAGTAGCATAGTATTTGCTTAGGTACATAAATTACGTTTCAAATTGCCAGTATTGTAAAAAAACAATTTCATAGGTTATTAACGGCAATTAACGAACTTTAATATATTATTATATAA